AGCCCTTTTATTCCAGAGAATTAAAGGTTTGTCAGTTTACAGCCCAGGGAGGAGACGATGCTAAGTGGCCCGAAGGTGTCTACTATGAAGGGAAATGTGCTGGTGGTGTGGAAGAGGTGAACCTCTCCATGACCCTTGGGCGTATGCAGCGACAGCAGATCAAGGAGCTGTGCACTAGCTACACGCCAACCTTCTCAGCCACCCCAGGACTGACTGAACGGGCATACCACTCCATTGACACAGGTAATGCTCACCCAATTAGGGTCCAACCTTACCGGGTTGTCTCCTCAAGCTAAAACTGCTATAGAACAGGAGATCCAGGATATGTTACAGATGGGTGTAATCCGCCCCTCTGGAAGTGCATGGGCATCTCCAGTGGTTCTAGTTCCCAAACCAGATGGGGAAATACGTTTTTGCGTGGACTACCATAAGCTAACTGCTGTAACTCGCCCAGACAACTATCCAATGCCACACACAGATGAACTATTAGAGAAACTGGGACAGGCCCAGTTCATCTCTACCTTGGACTTAACCAAGGGGTACTGGCAGGTACCGCTAGATGAATCTGCCAAGGAAAGGTCAGCCTTCACCACACATCTCGGGCTGTATGAATTTAATGTACTCCCTTTCGGGCTGCGAAATGCACCCGCCACCTTCCAAAGACTTGTAGATGGTCTCCTAGCGGGATTAGGAGAATATGCAGTCACCTACCTTGACGATGTGGCCATATTTTTGGATTCCTGGGCAGACCACCTGGAACATCTACAAAAAGTCCTTGAGCGCATAAGGGAGGCAGGACTAACTGTTAAGGCTAAGAAGTGTCAAATAGGCCTAAACAGATACTTTTCATCCTCTTCACAAATGACCTTCCCTACACCACAGCCAGGCCTTTTATCTATGCAGACATCATCTGTCTGGCAGTGCAGGACCAGGATTTCAGTCACCTAGACAAAGTCTTCAATGCAGATATGAGAAAGTTGGCCCACTACTGTAAAAAATGGAGACTCTAAGTGTCAAAGACCGTTTCCGGCTGTTTGATCTAAACCACACATAAGGCCAACAAACAGCTCAACATCTTCCTGAATGGACTCAGACTGAACAACAACATAATGCCTGTGTATCTAGGTGATACACTGGGCCACACCTGGACATGCAAGGAATACCTTATCAAGACCCCACTGCAAATAAAGACAAGAAATGTCCTGATCAGCCAGCTATCCATTTCAAACTAGGGAACCAATGCAAGGTCACTAAAAAGTTCCAGGCTTTCCCCATGCTATTCTGTAGCAGAATATTGCTCCCCATTGTGGCTTAGCCCCTCTCACATAGGACTAGTGGACATGCACCTGAATGAAATTATGTATATAGTAACTGGTACCATGAGACCAACCAACCTGGCCTGGTTGCCGGTCCTGTCCTATATTGCCTTCTGCTATCAGTTGACAAGTCACCTTACAGAATCTGGGTCTAACACTAATTACAGAGGTCTCTAATCCACCAATCTACCATTTTAGCTCAAGGCACCCAATTTGCACAATTCCTTTTAAGGAACCTCAATGTCACCTGCAGGCAGCATACTAGGAGGCAAGAACAAGCTTTCAACATAGCCTATCTCATGACAGATCCAACAGTCCAGTTCCCTAGTTTTGACTTTCCACACCATCTGTGAGCAAAGCTCAATTGCTTCAGATGTAGAGTGATAAGATATACTTCTAGTGACCATAAGTAGGGCTTTCATGACTCCCCCCATTGGCGCTGTGGCCAAGAAGATATAGATCATATACTTGCAGGCTGCATCTGTCAGCAAGAGCTGCCTGGTTTCCTCATGGACTTGCACAATGCCCTTCCCTCAGTTATTAAATGGTTAAGACACTTAGACTGGAACATCTATGTAAATGAATGACTGGAACATCTTTGTAAATGCAATCGTAACCAGCACAAGATATGAGAAGCTGCTGCAGGAACCTGATGAGGTAGGGCAAGCCCTGCCTATCTCAACACAGATGGGTCCCCAAGAACTCCCAAAGGAAGGCTGAACTAAAGTGAGCATATGTTCAGGTTGTTTGTTGTTTTCTATATGATCTGTACTCTGTGTATTTCTTGTGCTTTAGCAAGGAGTGCTTTAGAATTCTGTGTAGCGCCTGTGTATTTAACAGTTACACCTACCACGGGGCCCCTTGAAGAAGTAAACCAGAAGGCTCACACTTCTGTGTGGCATTCTGGGAGAGGGTAGGTTCAAACTACAAGGGGAATAGAGAGTTAAGCACCGGTTCCAATGATGAGGCAGTGGGCTGTGTGATCTCAGTGGGGATGACAGAAGATCTGCACCCTGAGAGCATGCTCAGAAGCTGTAAGACTGTCCCTGTTCACTATGCCTGGGCTCTGTTCAGATTTAAAACAAACAGGATCTAGCAGCTGAATCCCCTCACAGCAGTCTGATGAGTGGCCAAGAGGGGGCTGCTCATCAGAACCTGTGATGGTATCTAGCTAAAGGAAGGTAAATCCTCTTCCTAGAAATGCCAGCTTGGATATCTGATGGGGCAAGTACAGAACACAACAGAAGAATAAAAGGCTACAGCTTTGAGTGCATTAGTTGGCTAGTCTCCTTATTCGGTCATCATGTATATGTAAAGATTTTAATAATTTCTTGTGAAGGGAATATTTTGAATTGGCCAGGTTTGAAAATAACTTTACATAGAGGGAAATCTGTGGCAAATCTAGATCTAAACAATGCCTTCCTACACCAATAATTTACAAAAGTTCCTTGGGGTCTTCAAGGAGCAGGAGATTCTTCAACTGTAAGTGATTTAACATTTTCACTTGGTCTCACTACATTAACGATGCTATTAAGATCAACAGGTTTTGTGCTGAAGTGCAGGAGTTCTGTTTCACATAGATGAAATATTTGTAGATACTGATTGGGTTCTTTTGGATCACTAAACCTTTTATACTGTGTGGTGAGATTTATGAATGCTAGATAGCAACACACTTCATTTACTTGTCACAACTGAGAACTAAAATTTACATCTCCTGTTGTTCAGCAAACAACTTGCAATATCATTCTGCCTCTAATTCTTTCTTAAAGAATAAATGGGATTTTAGGGGAAGGAGAATACTGATTCAAAATCCAACTGAATTACTGATTCTGTTAAAGATGGAGAAATACCTTGTTGAAAATACTTAAGACTGAATGAACTAAACACATCACAAGATCTGACAAGATCTACAGGACTTTCTGGTGACAATGGACAGACATAACATTTACTTTTAAGTGGTAATATCTGCAGAGCTGAACATTACTAAATAATTGGTTTTACCCCTCAAGAAGCTTTTTGGTGCCATCGATGTTAAGTGAAGAATTATTATTGAGTCTTATTCTCATCTGACACCAATAACTCTTCCACAAATGAAAATGTAAAGATCACATTTTATCATAGTTAGCATTTTTATCATTCAGACACACGTGGTCCAAATGTGAAATCAATTTTTGTTTAGCGTTGGGGATGTGATACTGGCAGACCGGGCCTCACTGAACACTGACAAATACATAGCTGGAAACCAGTCCAGCTTACCTATGGGTTAAGTTCAGAATAAAAAAGCCCCCCTTTATCTTCCTTTTCTGAAAAGCTTGAACCAAAAAGTTGGGGAATGGAACATTTAGAGCAGCGGTTCTCAAACTTTAGCAACCTGAGGACCCCCATTTTGATTTTAAATTTTTCACGGACTCCCCAAAGGCCCCACCCCTGCCCAACCTCTTCCTGCCCCCTCCCATGAGCGTGCCCCGGCCCCACTCCTCCCCCTCCCTTCCAGTGCCTCCTGCACACCACTGAACAGCTGTTCTCCGGCGTGCAGGAGGCACTGGGAGGGAGGGGGAGGAATTGATCAGTGTGGCCGGCAGCCCCAGACATGACTTGTGGACCCCCTGGAATACCCTTGTGGTCCCGCAGGGGTCCGCGGACCCCAGTTTGAGAAACCCTGACTTAGGGAAGTGATACAAGAGGGGTTCAGAGATCAGATCACTTTCAAAATAAAAAACGGGATTAAACTTTTTATAAAGAAGTGCCCAGCCCACTATGGCCATCTCAGCAGACATTTCCATTTTGACTTTACCAACAAAAACAAACTCTACTGGAGACATAACCATAATTATCGCATATAGCTAGTAAAGCAGCTACAGCTTAATCTTCAAGACCTTAAAGATCCTTATCTGCTGTCAACTGAGTTGACTTCTATAATTTTCCTGTTTGTTCTTCCCCTTTCCTTAACTTCTGTCCACCTACCTTTAAACTGCAAGCTCCCCATAACAGGGACAGTCCATTCCTGAATGTCTGAAAAATTCCTACCACATTGTGGCCACTGTCATAAGCAAACAATAATAATACTTAGTATCTCTTACTTGCTAAAACTATGTTGCAAGGACATTACAACTCTTCACTAAACCAAGACAGTTTAAATCAGCAGTTCTCAAATTAGGGGGCTGCAAACAGGTTTCAGGGGGTTTGGTGAGCCCCACTGCCCCACAGGGGCCAGAGTCCCGAGCCCTGCTGCCTGGAGCTGAAGCCCGGATCCCCACTTTCCCACTGCCTGGGGCTGAAATTGAAGAACACTGAAGCTGCAGAAAACAACTGTTTTTCTGCATATAAAAGCCTGAGCAACTGAGCTTTGCAGGGCCCCGGGCAATTGCCATGCTTGCTACGGGCCCCAGCTTTTATATGCAGAAAAACAATTGTGACACAGGTGGGCAGTGGAGTTTTTATAGCATGTTGGGGGGAGCCTCAGTAAGAAAAAGGTTGAGAATCCCTGGACTAAATGACTGAACAGCATTTCCTCAAATAGTCCCTTCTGTAGGAACTGATATGACTAATATGTCCATCAAACTTCAAGATGATAAATGTAAGCATCTTTCAACCCACCCATACCATATAGTGCCCACTGTTAATCAGAAATTCCAAATATGGTAAGTATAATAAAACTGAGCCCAAACACTATTCTAATCTCACCAGAAAATTCAAATACATTCTCCACAACAACGGACAATGGGCACCGTTTTCACTCTGAATTGCGTGTTCAAATAAAGTTTTGATCCGATTTTTTAATCCAGTTTCAGGAATTGTTGAATATATTTCTCCAACATCTACTCTGAAACAGAAAAGAAAACAATATATACATGAGGTAAACAACTGTGTACTTATACAAGAAGGCAAGAGTAATTTCACTGCTTCCATTCCACAGAAAATGTATTAGGAACTTCATGCTACTTTCTCTGTTAACATTATCTGCTGTCAGACTAAACTGATTTGGAATATATGCTGGTCCAACTGGCATTTTAATATATAAATCAATAAAAAGACCCAATGAGGTATTTATTTTTCTTTGTGGAGAGGATGTCTGGCATATCAAAGTAATTATCACTCTAAACTCAGAGTTGAGAAAAATTATCATTTTTTCTAGGTTATAATATCCTAATTCAGTGTAACCTGAGGGTACCTACGGATTCTAGTCTTCACCCAGCATGACATATCACTATTCTTCAGACATTTTAGCATATACGTTAGAAGTAAATAAAACAAGGCTTTTAGCATCAACAATAGTAACACGTTTAAAAAAAATCAACATATGCTCTCAAGATTACGCAACATATTTAAATTGTCTAATGTGTTCTGCACATTCTGTTCTGCATTCAGAAACATACTGAAGAATGAATAACAATCGTTTAAGTAACTAATAAAAATAGCGTAATTAACACAGAATGCTGAAAACAACACAAAAACATCAGTGATCAGAGATGAAATATTTTTGACACCATTTAAGAAGCAACACTGTAGTCAGCCTCAATCACCTATAGGTGCAAGTTCCCATAACGAATCACAATGGAGTCTGAGGGGTGAATTAAAAGGCCAAAACAAAAACTTAATTAAGAATAGGTTTGCATTCAACTAACAAGGCTGGGGGGGGGGGGTGCATTTAGCACATAAACAAACTATACTAGCATACAAAAAAAAAAAAAAAAGTTAGTGACCTTCCATTTTGCTAGCTCCTTCTCCGTTCTCTAGAAATTTCCCAAAATACATCTTTAGCAAACCTGAAAGAGCAAGTAGAGTTTGTAGAGGCTAAAAAGAATCTTGAAAAAGACTAGAGATTCTATTTACTGAATTCCTCTTATTCCTCATTAGTGGGGGCATTCAACATATTTTATGCATAATTAATTAATCATTTGTATCTTCGTCCTGTAATAGTCAACTGGAATTTATACAAATGGATAATACAATCTGCACAAAGGTGTCTGGGTTAAAGACGACTTCATTCAGGAAAGAATGAAATACTGCAGGGAAAGTAATCTGACCGAAGGCAAAAGGCAAACACCGACAGCACTGAGCTGCAATCATCCATTTTTTAAAAGCTCGTAATATTCTGATCTCTTCTCCATTACAGCACCAGGTCTCCTTGATCTCCCTCTGCGTGGCAGTGATTCAGATTAAATCACTTAATGTGTTCAGATGATGTAAAATGAGCATTGTGGGCTTTTCATTTATTAAAACAGTCCAACTAGCACACTAGGCAATTCTTTGCTCACTATCAAAGACCTGAGAATTGCCCCTGTCCTCTGAAGGAAGAAGGCATGGGCTATTCTCAAATTTCCACCAATGAGCAAAGATTAATCTGATATTTATGATAGTCAACTGGTGATTTAAAGAGACTTCTTGTTACAACAGTCAAAATACAGTGTCCAGACTGCAACCAACAGCAAGTTCTAAATTGCAACATGCTGTCTTCCTTTACATTTTATCACAAAGTATTACAATTTATGACTTCATTATACTGACAGCTCAAGAACAAGACTGTCACTTGTGTGGTTTGAGAAAATGTTTGAGGGCAGTGTGATCCAACAGAAAGACTATGGGACAAGAGTCAGGAGATTTACATTCTATTCATGATTCTGCCACTGATTCACTGAGAGATCTTGAACAAATACCCTCTCCAAACCTCAGTTTCCTCATCTGTAAAGATAATGACAGTACCCACCCTCCTTGGTAAAGTGATTTGATAGCTACAGATGAAGAGTGAAGCGGACAGTATTATTTTTGTCTCGAGTTCTATTACCTCTGAACATTCTCAACAAGCTTCTTTCTCATCTCCTCTGCTTGGATTGCAAACAGCCACGGCTCTAGGGACTTAGCAGACCTTGTGACACTATCAAAAAATCTTCGTGCTTTGCTAGCATTGTGAGACTTGCTTTGGATCTGGATATATGACCTCCAAAGAGACTGGTTGCTAGGATACAGCTTCAAAGCTTCCGTTAGTGCCTCTCGCAGTGGATTTAAAGGGTAAATGCTAACTTTCATATGGTACCTGAGTAAATTTGTGTGCATGAGTGTGACTGCTTCAAGAGCAGTGGGGAAATTATGAATGCCAAGATTTTCTCCAATACCTTCAAACTTCCGTGAAGCAGAACCTTTAAGCTTTTCAGAAATATGTCTACATATTAATACAGCAGCATCAATCCCAACAGTCAAATACTGGAAAAGTGCATAACAACCAACTAAACTAACCAGTTGGTTAGAACTGCTGACCTGATCCCAATTAGAGACTGGACTTTCATTTAAATAATCTTGCAACGCATGCTCATATGCCTTCCGAGCTTTCAAGATATTCACAGATAACACGTGCCCAGGATAAGGTACATATGGCCCACTTTCAGCCAGTTTGGTCAATATATGTACAGCACGTGACATAACAGTTTCCTCCAGACTCTCTAGTAGCTCCACTTCCAGTGAAGCATAAAGCAGGCTCAGACTACAGAGTTGGGTATTTCTCATTCCTTCAGTTCCTGCCAAGCAAAGAGCTGTATCAAATACTTTTCTAGCATCTTCTGTGTTGCCAAGTAACCATTCCAAGTAGGCATACAGTTTCCAGAGGGAAAGGTTGTTTCGGTTTTCAGATGCCTTAAGGAGATTCTTGGCTAGTTTTTTGCTTTTCTTTCCCTGTGACTTCAGTTTCTTCTTGTTTTTTGCTTGGAGACATTGACCAACCTGCATGGAAAATTGACAGAACAAAATTTGGAGGAAAAAAAACAACAAGAAAAAACAACAACCCATAGTTATATTTGGGTTCATTATTCTATTTCTGTATTCTTTAGCATCACTAGCCCATTAAAGATTACTGAGTCAACAGCATTTCCCATAGGCACAACCACTGGGAGGATGGGAGGGAAAAATGCCCTCATCACCTTAGCTTCGCTCTTATGCAAAAAAATTAATCTGTTTCCCTCCCCATCCTGGGCCACCAGCCAGCTGATGTCATATGTCACTTATACTGCAGGGAGTGGTTGTAAGGAACAGAGAATCAGCAAAGAGAAACTGAGGCCTTCTCCACACCAGGATTTTTAGCCACCAGTGCAGCTACACTGCTGCAAGCCTCTATTGTAGACTCAGATGTGACTGTAAACCCATTACTTACCAATGTGCTTTACTATGGTTCAAAACTGTGATAAGACATACCAATGCGTCATACCTACAGCTAGGGATCTTCACTGGTGAAGCTATACCAAAGGCTAAAAACCCCTTTGTAGGCCTAAAAAAGACTGAATCCTTTGCCAAGTGTCAGATCTGTTTGCTGCAGGTGAATACCACTCCCTATCAAGCTGCCTTCACATGCATTCCACACATATTAGTGTTTCTTGACAGGCAATTTGGGGAGACTTTGCAAAGTGCTGAAAATGTTATTACAATTTAAAGCAAAGAAACTCTCACTTTCCTCTGCCCCACTATTCTTTGTCAACCTCCCAAAAAAATACTCAATTTATATAGGTTCATCATTCTTATTGACACATTTTTTACTCTTATTATAAGTTTAAAGGGGGTTGTAAAATTATTACAAGGAGCTCTTGCCTCTCTAATTGTGCATTTTGTATAACCACCACTTATGGACTCTCTCTAGCATACACAAAGTATTACACAACAATAGACAATGTAACATGTATCTAAGAATGTAGAAAAATTATACTATTTTTCAAAGAATAACATGTTATTGTGTAATTATAGACAACTGTGATACATATGCATAAGTGAATGGAGTTAAAGCTGAGTACACCACCTTAACTATAGCTTTTCCTGACATTTGAGTGCTCAACCTTCACTTTATCTTAATGTTGCTTATTTTAATGGTATAAAAATGTACACAATAAAACTATAAGCCACATTGAGAGACAGTGCACAAATATTTAATTACCTTTGAGATTTCATATTGTAGCCAACAGACAGAAAGGTTTGACTTTTCCTTTCCTGAAAATAATGGCAATATTAAATGAAAGACATTCTGTATGAACTCCTCTCCTTCCTTACTGTGTCCTATGTGCTGTCTCCCTCTGGTCATTGTGTCCATATGGCCAATACTATTGACTCCAGAAAGCAGCGAGTCAAAAGAAGTCAGCGGCCTTTCAGACTGCCCATTGTCAAAGATGTTGTTCTCATCCATTGCGATATAGAGATTTGAAGGAAAGAGACTACACCCACATGGAACTCCCAAGAATTGCAGAAATGAGTACAGCAGCTGAAACTGAAGATCTGGACTAGAAAGTCTGATTAAAGATGGCCCAAGATCATCAAACAATACCTAGAAAAAGGAATAAAACAGTTAATTTAATTATAATTCAACCAAATAAGTCTATAATTTATCAAGCATCTTTCTGAGTTAAATGAAGATTTTCAAAAATGAATATGAAATGGTGATGGAACTTGATTCAAATTAAGAAAAACAAGGCAAATTAGACGAGTAATAGCCCCCTTCCAGAGAGGACTGCAGACCCAATCTGCAGATAACAGACTTCTACAGTTCTGGATTAGTGAAAAGAGTGCAGGGGAGGTGGGGGAACAGAGAGCACAAATAGCTCGAGCTCCTTCCCTCTCCTGGTACAACTCCAAAGACAGCCACAATGCTGCAGGCAGCTCTTTGAGAACGGGGCTGACTAACAAAGATAGCAGCTCTACACTCCTCAATATATGCACATGACCAAGGGGACTGGGGACATGGAGTGCTGCTAGTACCGGAGGCAAGTGCTGAGGGACGTGACTGCAGCAGCCTTTAAAGAAAAATGTATGGTATTATGATTGCTGCTAGTGAGCAAACTCCTTCCAGCACTCATGGAGCTATTATGCCTTCTTCTTCCCTAGGCAGGCAAAGAGTCCCCCAGCCACTATTGCTTAGTGCTTTGTCTCTGCATACCTGCACACCAAGGAGCAGAAGAATGGTATTAACAAGGCAATGGCCAAGTTCACTGTCTATTTAGAACCCTTTGGGCAACAGTAACATTGCCAAAATCACATCAGTTTCATGCTGCTTGAAAAAGCAATGAATGACAAAGAGGCAGGCACTCAGCTATTCACAAGGAATGAGAACACAACTGGAAGAATGGTAAAGAGGCTGTGGGAGAGGCAGAGTAATGGACACCCTCTCCACTTCTTACAGCAGTTAGGGAGGTCTGGAAAGGAGAAAAGAGACAGAAAGATTACTTACCTGTACAGTAACTGGAGTTCTTCAAGGTGTTTCATCCCTATGGGTGCTCCATGTGAGGATTTGCATATGCCCATGCACTCTTGATCAGAGATTTTTATCATTAGTCCATGGGTCCACACTTGCACCCTACACATTCTCATGCTCTTATATAAGGGTACAAGGAGGGGTGGACCCCCACACCACTCCAGTTCCTTTGCAACCACAAAGTCCAAAGCAGAGGGGAAGGAGAGTGGGTAGTGGAGCACCCATATGGACAAAACATCTCAAAGCACTCCACTTACTGTACAAGATAAGTAATCTCTCCTTCATATTTTTGTCCCGATGGGTGTTCCATGTCAGAAGATTCCAGAGCAGTACCCCAATTAAGGAGGAGAGTGCTGAGGAGACAAATTCACTACAGATCATTGATGAGTTTGTTCTAACGCTTCATCAGTTCTAGAAGCACATGCAATAACATACTGCTACAATATAGCATGTGCACCGAAGACCAGGTGGCAGCCTTGTAAATATGCGAGATGGATATGTTCTTCAGTAACGCCACTGAGGTAGACTGAGCCCTGATGGAATGGGTAATCACCCTTGGTGGAGGATGCACCCCAAAGGCTTTGGAACGGGTCAAAATATATCTCAAAAACCCATTCGAACAGACTGAGTGGAAATTGGATACTCTTTCATTCTTTCTCCATGGGAAATAAAGGGTCTGAAGGAAGCCCTGAAGGGCTTAGTCCTATCAAGGTAAAAAGCAAGGGCTCTCCTTACATCAAGTGTGCAGAGACTAACTTCCTCTCTCAAGAAGTGAGGCTTGAAGAAAACACCAGCAGACATTCTGATTAATGTGAAATTCTGATGAAAGTTTAGGTAGGAAGCAAGGATGGGTATGTAAAGTCCCTCTACTGTGACAGAACACTGCACAATGGCTCAGCCATAAGATCTCCTAGTTCTCCTACTCCTCTGGCCAGGATAATGGCTATTAGGAATGTGGTCTTAAAGTATATATGAAATGGGAACAGCTCCCCATAGGTTCAAATGGGGATTTTCTCAGGACATTGAGGACTAAATTGAAATCCCATGGTGGAGTAGGTTCTTAGACAGGAGGAAAAAGGTTAAACAGACCCTTAATTAATCATGCAGTCATTGGGTGAGCAAACACTGAAATCCCTCGGGGGGGGGGTAACAGGCTCTACAGGTGAACATTAATTGAGCTCAGTGATAAACCTATGGTTTTACATTTAGCAGGTAATACAGAACGTGCATGAGGAGCAACTTGCGAGAAGATATGGACAGTTGGGAACACCACCCTTGGAAATGTTTCCACTTCTGCAGGTAACTTATCCTTGTGGTGGGTTGTCTACTGTTCAGCAATATGGTTTGAACTTCTGGAGGGCAATCCTGTTCTATGCCAGATAGCCATTGAGGAGCCAGTCCTTGAGTTAAAGTGATGAGAGATTGGGGTGGGTCATGGTGCCAGATTCCTGGGTCAGAATATTCACTGTCAGAGGAAGGCTAAGAGGCAGTCGCAGGTAATAGGTGCACCAGATCTGGGAGCCAGACCTGTCTTGGCCATGATAGCGCTGTAAGGATGGTCACAAATCTCTCTTTTTTCAATTTATTCAGGAGCTTGAGAAGCAGTGGCATGGGAGGAAGGATTAAGCATTTAGCAGAATGTAAGGCCAAGGGGTAAGGAAGGTGCCTCTCAGTGAGTTGGAAGCACCGGTATTTTGTGTTGAATGGTGTTGTGAAGAAATCGATCTCTGGGAAGCCGTAGGTGCGACAAATATGCTGAAATACTGCATCGCTCAACTCCCATGCAAGGTCTTGACAGAAATGCCTGCTCATGGAGTCCACTGTGGTGTTCTGTGGCTCTGGCAGATAAACTGCCGAGATCTCTATGTGACAGGATATGCACCAACTCCATAATTTTATGGATTCTAACTATGAGGACTGGGATCTTGCTTCTCCTTGACAATCATTATACTGTAGACCCACTGTCCAGCATTACTCTGACCAAGTGGCCTCTGATGCTGGATAGGAAGCAATGGCATGGATACTAGACTGCTCTGAGATGGAGAATGTTAATATGGAGACACATCTGCTGGAGAGTTCATCTGCCTTGGGCTGTGAAGTCCCAGAAATGGATGCCCCAGCTGATCAGGGAAGCATCCGTGGTGGTGATCTTTGTGGAGGCTGGATAAGAGAATGCAACTCCCACACAGACCCTCTGAGGATCCTTCCAGCAGTTGAAGGAGTCAAGAACACTCTGAGGTATTGACACCTGCTTGGACAGATTATGCTTATTAGGGGTGTAGACAGCCCTGAGGCAGGCTTGAGGACATCAGAAATGTTATGAATGTACAGGCTGCCATGTGGCCTAGGAGTAGAAAACAAGCCCTTGCTGTTGTTTGTGGGCTCTGCTATAGTGTGGGAATGAAATCATAGAGAACCTGTATGTAGACTGGTTTCAGAGTAGCAGCTGTGTTAGTCTGTATTCGCAAAAAGAAAAGGAGTACTTGTGGAACCTTAGAGACTAACAAATTTATCTGAGCATAAGCTTCCGTGAGCTACAGCTCACTTCATTGGATGCATGCAGTGGGAAATACAATGGGGAGATTTTATATACACAGAGAACATGAAACAATGGGTGTTACCATAAACACTGTAACGAGAGGAGTGTGTCTGGTAACACCCATTGTTTCATGTTCTCTGTGTATATAAAATCTCCCCACTGTATTTTCCACTGCATGCATCCGATGAAGTGAGCTGTAGCTCACGAAAGCTTATGCTCAAATAAATTGGTTAAGTCTCTAAGGTGCCACAAGTACTCTTTATGTGGACTGGTACCCTCTGGAGTTTTGGGAGTTTAGAGCAGCTCCCATGAGAGGACGAAGGATATGCCCTTCCAGCTTGACTGTGAAACACTGCTAACTACTCTCTTGGAATGGTTTTCCAACCAGTTATGCACCCAGCTAATAGTAGCTCCGTCTCGGTTGTATTTCCCTAGTTGATGAGAATCATGCAAGACAGTATCAAAAGCCTTACTAAAGTCAAGATATACCACATCTACCACTTCCCTCCGCCCCCATACACAAGGCTTGTTACCCTGTCAAAGAAAGCTATTAGGTTGGTGTGACATGATTTATTCTTGACAAATCCATGCTGACTGTTACTTATCACCTTATCTTCTAGGTGTCTGCAAAGTTATTGCTTACTTATTTGCTCCATATTTCCAGGACTGAAGTTCGGTTGACTGGTCTGTAATTCTCCGGGTTGCCCTTAATCCCTTTTATAAAAGAAGGCTGAAAGGTGGTGGAATTCTAGACAAACACAGCTGAGCCCAAGAAAGTGTCCTTACCCATGTCTAGTGGATGAGCAACAGGTGTCAGTAATGGGAGTCATTTTAGTACCAGAGGGCAAGAAAGGACTGGCAACCGTATCAGTAAGGACAGCCGAGCCTTCATAAAAGGGTGAGGTGGTATAGTACCAGACGGTAATGTCAATATGGGTGGGAAATCCCTCTCAGTAGCCCTCAGAAGAGGTGATTTGGGCTTTTCCAGGATTCAAAGGTCTTCATTAAAGAGGATCCTGGATGGTACCAGAGAATCTGGGTACTGTTCCTCAGGAGTCATCATGTCAAGAGATACCTGGAACGGTACCGAAGTACGGGCCATGCGCTCTTTCTCGTGGCCTGAGCAGAGTGACACCAAGGACGATGACCGAGTCCCAAGTCTTCAAGGAATCCTTTTATTTAGAAGGCTCCTATTTCAGTACCAACACTGGTACTGCAGAAGGCTTCTCAGTACGCATTATGAAGTTGTACTGGGATTTCAGTATCAGAGGAGGGAAAAGCCTTAATGGTACCCATATTGGGACACGAAGTCTTCTTGTTCTCTAATTAGAGGGGGACTTTCCCCCTTCTCTTGGTATCTTTCTCAGGGAAATGGGGTCTCTTCTTATCAGATGTTCCTGAAGACTCTGAAGGCTCCTCTCCCAGGTCTGTGGTTACCAGAGCAGAGGCTTGGGCAGCCACTGGAACATTCTGAGCAGTTGAGGCAGATGAACAATAGGGGGGACTGGGACCTTGCAAGTCTCAGGGAATATTCTATAAGAAGCAGTTTCAATCAACCCTTCCTCAGCTTTCTGGATATGCTGCTGATCAGATGCTACACATGGAGGGGACATGCACCTCTTCAAGGCAGCTGGAATGCCCCTTGCTGACAGGGAAGGACCTGTGGCAGGTCTGGCAGGGTTTGAAGCCCAGGATCTTTGGCATAATCCAAGAAGAAAGGCCGCAGATGGAGAGGGGCTGAGTGGAATGGGCAAAAGAAACCTGAGACACAAAGACACCCCCCTCCCAAAAAAGCACAAAGCTGTGCTAAATTAAACAAGAAAATAATCAAATAAACAAAAAGTAATATAAACAAACAAAGAAAAAGTCAGCAAGCTGGGTCAGCTAGCTACCGGACACAATGATGCTCCATCTCAAGCCACACGTGGTTGAGAAGGAACTGCAGTGGCAGAGCATCCGCCCCTTCCTATATACTCTCATACCAGAGCAAGAGGATATGTAGGGAGCAGGCATGGAATCACAGACACGATTGACAAAAATCTCCTGACATGAAGAACCAATAGCAAGGATAATTTGAAGAAATTTCTTTTCCCTTACAGCAGCAGAAGTTTAAAATTTGTAAGACACCTACTAGCGAGAGGTTGCTATAAAGGTGGAAGCCCTCAAGCAGGGGTCGAAGTCTCAGCACCTTCTTCCTTTCAAGCACATGAAGCGACAAGGGTACTGAGCCATAAGCAGAGTATGGCCTCTAGATCCTGCTGAGAAGCACTTTTCCACCTTCCCATCCTTGTCTTTTGCATCTTCCTTGGTTACCCAGGGTTTTCAGGACCCACAGCAGGGGCACCTTAACTATTTCACTCCAGGCGGTGTCAGGAATAAATCAATAGGAAGACAGCAATTCCATCTGATAAGATTAATGCAAGTAAGCATGCTCTATCTAAAACAGCAGCTTATTAGATTTAAGCACACACAGACATAAGCAATAGGTTTAGCACATCCCAGATATTTACCTAATACCTGGTACATTATTAAGTAAGGTTTCAGAGGAACAGCCGTGTTAGTCTGTATTCGCAAAAGAAAAGGAGTACTTGTGGCACCTTAGAGACTAACCAATTTATTTGAGCATGAGCTTTCGTGAGCTACAGCTCACTTCATCAGTCTTAGTCTCTAAGGTGCCACAAGTACTCCTATTATTAAGTAATTAACAGCAGGTTCGCAGTTGCCAGTTGCTCACCCACCGGGGAGAAAAGGTATCAGGAAAAACGTCTCTCAAGATGGCTTTAGAGGACTGCTCCAAAGTACATTCTATTATCTAGACTTTTTATAACTAGCTTCTACAAAACACAAAGGTCATAATGACCGCTACTAGATCATCACTCTTCCTAATTTTCAATAAACTTCCTAATATCAGAGGCGTCCAAACTCAAGGTCTTCCTTCCACCAAGGTTTTCAGTCTCAGTTGTTTATTTTCCTCTCCCCTCCTCGCATTCTGATTAGCAAAACGGACAGTAGTTTTGACCTTGCTTCTGAAAGCCTGTCTACAAATTAACCCTTAACTGTGTGGTGTTCTATTTCATTAATTCACGGTGGCTGAATGCACATAATATGGTTGCAATTAGCTTGATCATATTCTGGGGTATGCACAACCCCCAAATCCAGGGCAACACCTTGATTATACAGATTATGGTTTGATGTCTGGTAAATTTTTCAAGCCTTGACTTATAAAACTGTAGGGACAGTTCAAATGTGATAGTGATTTTATGAATAAGGACGTATCTGCAAAAGGATTGGACTGGGAACACTACCACACTTTAGAAATGCCACCACAGAGCTATCTCTCACCACTGACACAGGTTGGATATAAACCAATGACCTACATGTCAAAGGTTCCCATTTCCAATCCCTAGAGCAGTTTTTTTCAAGCTGTAGGGCACAATCAACCGGGGGCAGGGGCAAAACAACAACAACAAAAATCAATCGGCCAAACCTTGCAGTAGCTAGGACCCAGAGACAGTCTGAGGAGAGAAAGATCAGCACACTCCACCCCCACCTCTAACCCACAGCAACTCCTCCCTTCTTGATGCCTGCACTGTGCTCAGCTCCAGGGGAGGCGAAGCAGCATGTCCAATAGGCTTTGGTGCCAACAAGACAGCTTCAGCTTTGTGAAGTAGCACAGTTCTGGAGCTAAACAATGAGAAAAGGGAGAAGCATCACCTCAACTCCCATGCCCTTTCCTATTTCCACTAGCCTTCCACTTCTTCCTGGGAACTTCCCTCCCCCCAACATAATAGCTGATCTCCATGAGCCCCATCAGCCTACCCTCACCAACCAGTACCTCCTCTCTCCCTGGAACAACCTTACCTCAAGCCCACCAGTGGGTTTTGGGGGGGGACTTGCATGGCTCCCAGCAAGAAACCACTGGTGAATTTTCAGTCCCACCCAAGTAAAAAAAAAAAATTTCAGAACCACTGCCCTAGAGATATCCAAGATCTTCCAAAATCATTATTATTTTTGTTTAAAACAATTATGCATGGAGTCCTTGACAGATTAACTTAAATGTAAAGAAATCTCACACACACACACACACAGTCTTATATATCACAATGACCTGTCTCTCCGGATCTTCACAATCTTCTTCAGTCTGCTTTTTAGTTTTGTCAGGTCGCCAAGGCAGCCAATGCCTTGTTTCACGGGAACATTCAATGTCCAGCCAAATTTGCCATTTGGGTAGAGTTTTATCCTTTATTTCTTGATCTTCATCTCCATCTTCCTCCTCATCATCTACAAAATAAAGAAAACAAAAAAAAACCCAGACACCAAAATTTAAAGTCACCCATCCAAAACCTGAAACTTCATATATGTAAAATACAAGATTGAGAACTGAAAAATTCTGAGTTCTCATTCTGGTTCTGACACCAACTCCATGTGTGGCCTAAAGAAAATCATAATTTGCTCTGTCTTAGTTACCCCATATGTAAAATGAGTATCACGCTTACTTATTTCATTAGTGCATTGTGAGGATTAATGTACAGAAAGTATTTTAAAAATGCAAAGCACTAGCTGTATGAAAAGTATTACTACGGCATTAAACATTACAAATTAAAATTGGTATCACTGTTTTAAACTGACTGATATTTTCAATGACTTTAATTTTACATGCATTAGATCTTGCCAATGCAATTAAATTCTTCTCAGATTAAAAATATTCACTGAACCTAAAATCCAGTGTTGGAATCAGACTACAGTTTTATAATGACAGGTTTCAGAGTAACAGCCGTGTTAGTCTGTATTTGCAAAAAGAAAAGGAGTACTTGTGGCACCTTAGAGACTAACCAATTTATTTGAGCATAAGCTTTCGTGAGCTACAGCTCACTTCATCGGATGCATACTGTGGAAAATACAGAAGACGTTTTTATACACACAAACCATGAAAAAATGGGTGATTATCACTACAAAAGGTTTTTTTCTCCCCCACCCCACTCTCTTTCCCCACTCTGAACTCTAGGGTACAGATGTGGGGACCTGCATGAAAACCTCCTAAGCTTACTTTTACCAGCTTAGGTTAAAACTTCCCCAAGGTACAAATTAATTTTACCCTTTGCCCTTGGATTTCCACTGCCACCACCAAACTTTATCTGGGTTTACTGGGAAACGTAGTTTGGACACATCTTTCCCCCCAAAATCCTCCCAACCCTTGCACCCCACTTCCTGGGAAAGGTTTGGTAAAAATCCTCACCAATTTGCATAGGTGACCACAGACCCAAACCCTTGGATCTTAGAACAATGAAAAAGCATTCCGTTTTCTTACAAGAAGACTTTTAATAGAAGTAAAGGAATCACCTCTGTAAAATCAGGATGGTAGATACCTTACAGGGTAATTAGATTCAAAACACAGAGAATCCCTCTAGGCAAAACCTTAAGTTACAAAAAAGACACACAGACAGGAATAGTCATTCTATTCAGCACAAGTCTTTTCTCAGCCATTTAAAGAAATCATAATCTAACACATACCTAGCTAGATTACTTACTAAAAGTTCTAAGACTCCATTCCTGTTCTGTCCCCGGCAAAAGCAGCCTACAGACATTTACATTTGGGGACAATGTATACCTTCAAATCAGCGGCACTGCTATGGGTACCCGCATGGCCCCACAGTATGCCAACATCTTTATGGCTGACTTAGAACAACGCTTCCTCAGCTCTCGTCCCCTAACGCCCCTACTCTACTTGCGCTATATTGATGACATCTTCATCATCTGGACCCATGGAAAAGAAGCCCTTGAGGAATTCCACCATGATTTCAACAATTTCCATCCCACCATCAACCTCAGCCTGGTCCAGTCCACACAAGAGATCCACTTCCTGGACACTACAGTGCTAATAAACAATGGTCACATAAACACCACCCTATACCGGAAACCTACTGACCTCTATTCCTACCTACATGCCTCCAGCTTTCACCCTGACCACACCACACGATCCATCGTCTGCAGCCAAGCTCTGCGATACAACCGCATTTGCTCCAACCCCTCAGACAGAGACAAACACCTACAAGATCTCTATCAAGCATTCTTACAACTACAATACCCACCTGCAGAAGTGAAGAAACAGATGGATAGAGCCAGAAGCGTTCCCAGAAGTCACCTACTACAGGACAGGCCTAACAAAGAAAATAACAGAACGCCACTAGCCGTCACCTTCAGCCCCCAACTAAAACCCCTCCAACGCATTATTAAGGATCTACAACCTATCCTGAAAGATGACCCAACACTCTCACAAATCCTGGGAGACAGGACAGTCCTTGCCTACAGACAGCCCCCCAACCTGAAGCAAATACTCACCAGCAACCACATACCACACAACAGAACCACTAACCCAGGAACCTATCCTTGCAACAAAGCCCGTTGCCAACCGTGCCCACATATCTATTCAGGGGACACCATCAAAGGGCCTAATAACATCAGCCACACTATCAGAGGCTCGTTCACCTGCACATCTACCAATGTGATATATGCCATCATGTGCCAGCAATGCCCCTCTGCCATGTACATTGGGCAAACTGGACAGTCTCTACGTAAAAGAATAAATGAACACAAATCAGATGTCAAGAATTATAACATTCATAAACCAGTCGGAGAACACTTCAATCTCTCTGGTCACGCGATTACAGACATGAAAGTTGCGATATTACAACAGAAAAACTTCAAATCCAGACTCCAGCGAGAGACTGCTGAATTGGAATTCATTTGCAAATTGGATACAATTAACTTAGGCTTGAATAGAGAGTGGGAGTGGCTAAGTCATTATGCAAGGTAACCTATTTCCCCTTGTTTTTTCCTACATCCCCCCGACGTTCTTGTTAAACCCTGGATTTGTGCTGGAAATGGCCCACCTTGATTATCATACACATTGTAAGGAGACTGATCACTTTACATAAGCTATTACCAACAGGAGAGTGGGGTGGGGGGAGAGAAAACCTTTTGTAGTGATAATCACCCATTTTTTCATGGTTTGTGTGTATAAAAACGTCTTCTGTATTTTCCACAGTATGCATCCGATGAAGTGAGCTGTAGCTCACGAAAGCTCATGCTCAAATAAATTGGTTAGTCTCTAAGGTGCCACAAGTCCTCCTTTTCTTTTTGCAGTTTTATAATGTACAGTAGGATTTTAGATAGTTAAAAGCTTTTTTTTTTTTTGGCCTGTAATGTCAATTTTGCATTTACAGTGATGAGCACCCATGGAAAAATGTGTAGCCTAATAATAGGATTGCAGGGGAGCTTTTCAAAACAATTCCTCCTCCTTAAAAACAAAAAAGTCTTCAAAGCCATGGCGTTAAGCTGTAGTTTTTAAGAGGAAAATTGCCATTCCTCCAGCCCACCCTCATAAGACTACTGTAGCAGCAACTCTAAGCTTTTGTTCCTGTCATCTAGTGTTGACTGACACTCAACTCTCTCCCCCACACTTTGGGTGAAACAGGTAATGATGAGACCTTCAGTCCCTGTACTCTCTCCTTAACCTATACTCTCTGCTTCAAACAGTTCTTTCGTGAGACACAGCAGCACTCCCTCCTTGATGCATCCGATGAAGTGAGCTGTAGCTCACGAAAGCTTATGCTCAAATAAATTTGTTAGTCTCTAAGGTGCCACAAGTCCTCCTTTTCTTTTTACTCCCTCCTTAGTCTTCTAAGTCACCATTGTTTCACACCTAGGACAACACAAAGGTCTCCAACAGGCACTGCTGAGCAAAGGGGGTTGGGGTGGGGGTAGGGTCATCCCAGGGCAAAATGCTCCAATCTCTCTGCCCCACCTGAAGAGGGAGGCAAGGCCCTACTATGCTGATGTGTGAGAGATGTTTGACTTTAGAGGCAATGCCTCCTCCCAGAAGTAGCATCACAGACAACAACCCCTAGTGAGGCAGGGGGAAGCCAACAGAATCGTAAAGTTTAAGCCGGAAAGTACTACCAGGATCAGTGCTACTACCATTCTGCTCCAGTAGAAAATTTCACTCACATATATTCAAAGGGGCTCATAAGGATAGTATCTTTAACCCATGCAGATACAGGTGGGTGTCAGCTGAATATTCATATCCCTCTCCCTTGAATGATGGGCTGGAAAAGTTGGGGAGGGGCCATTTTCAAGGAAAGATGGACCATCATGGAATCCATTTTTCCGTGAGCAACATAACAAAAGAACACACAAGACAGGTGCTTTGGGATTTAAAATCACGACAGCACTTAACTAAATGCAGGTGGCAACTACTGCAGCAATGAATCATCACAGCCCAAGACAAGGAGATGGTTTCTAATTCAAGGCAGGAGGGACATTGCATGTCTGACTTCCTGGCCTCTGGGCTAGGCCTGCCATATCAAATAAATATATTAAAAATGGTCAAGAAATAGTGGGATTTTCAACATAGTTAAAACGAACACAAAAGAACCATTTTTCAATATCAAACATTATGGGGCACCAAATCCACATGCTCAAATTCTAAGGATAAACCTTGCCACTGTCTTCATATCTGATGGAGACCCCTACATCAGATACTGGCTGGGATTGACGATGCAGGCTATGTTACACATATTTAAGGATATGATTTAGTCACAGAGGTTAGGGAAGTCATGGATTCTGTGATTTTACCAGACCTCCGTGACTTCGCTTCAGCTGGCAGCAGCCGGCATGGAGCTGGGGCTGTGCACCCCCAACCCACAACTTTGGCTGCAGACGGGGATGTATGCCCCTGACCCACAGCTTTACTAGAGCTGGGGCTGTGCTCCCCCCTCACAACTGCAGCAGAAGCTGGGGCTGTGCACCCCCAACCCGTGGCTTCAGCCAGAGTCAGGGCTGCACACGCCCCTCGCAGCTACAACAGGAGCCTGGGCTGTGCCCCCAACAACGCAGCTACGGCCGGGGCTGTGCACCGCTTTTCATCAGTGCGGGAGCCGGGGCTGTGCACCGCTGACCTGCAACCTCGGACAGAGCCGGGACTGTGTGCCCCTCATGCCCTCCGCGGATTTGGCTGGGGCTGGAGCTATTTCTGTATGCCTCTGCCCCATGGCTTCAGCCAGGGCTACAGCTGCCATTCCTTCCCCTTCCCCTTCCTCTTCCCCCCACAGTCCTCTCCCCACCCCACTATTTTTAGTAAGAGTCTTGCACAGGTCACAGCTCCTGTGAATTTTTGTTTATTGCCTGCAACCGGTCCATGACTTTTACTAAAAATAACTAACAAAATCTTAACCTTAAATAAAGTATAAGACTGAAGAGCAAACTGTTAGAATTCATATGTGCACAAAGGCAGACTTAACTTGAGTGTAGTAACTGGCAATGGTCTCCAATTTATAGGTAGATCATGGAAAGTGGATTAGGATGCAGGAATGGCATGAAGATTGCAAATGGAATGTAAACTGGAGTTTCTAGTTTTAGGTTGTTCTAATTTAAAATAAATCTCTATTTTTTTTTAAAGGGCAATATATTTTCAACTGTATCTCTATCTTGGTGAAGATTTTTGTCTGGGAACAGCCTGCAACATGCAAAGGCACACGAAGAAAACTACAATATATTTCCCTCAGCCCATGTGGCTTAATTTGTTTCTGACATATAGATATTTATGGAAACTCTCAATGTTCTCAGGCTCTGAATAAAACCAGAAGCCTTTATGAGTTAATAAATAGGAGAAAGCAAAGAAAAAACTTGTCAAAAACTAACGTATGAAAGGGTACAGTTTTACCAGGTTTATTGATGATAATCCAGCCTCCCTTTTCTTGTTGATGCATCCATGATTTCCAGCCTTTTGCTCCTTTTTCTCCAAACCGAGGCTCTCCACTATCCCAAAATGGTTCAAAGAACTCTACCTATTGTTGAGGCAAGAAACATTCTATATATCATTTTCAATGTTGTAGCCACATTTAAAAATGACTTAGCAGTCCATCCTGTCAAGCTATCACTAATAAAAAAAAGGAATAACTAAATTAGCACACAGTAGAAAGAAAGTAACACAGAAATATAGGCAAGTTTAAAAAAAAAGTTTTGTAGGTATACTTTTAACATGGATGAGCAAGCTAGCTGCTGCATACAACATGGGCAATGAGGCTCCTACAAATCACGTCAATTAGTGGAAGCAGGACAGTAGCTACTCATCATCCACCTCTGGCCATTCAAGCACTTGAGTCATTTGTGTGGGAATAACCGCTCTATAAATAAATACTAAATGGGTCACTGAGCTGAATGGGATGCTGAAAACTGATCAGAAATAGTGCATCTAATTTCATGTAATTCTGAGTCACAACTCAAAGTTCTTATTGTGGTACCAAATCAATAAGTACAGAAATAGTTATGGACACCAGAACACCATGTAGCTACACTTAAAGCAGAAATATATATAGCAGATGAGAAGCCTGAATATGTTCTACAAGATAGGATGTGGTAAGATGAAGAAGAAATTCAACCAGCTATTATAATGGACAGTTAGACCTTAATGTACACTAGGAAAAATTTTACAAAAATTTCCCACCATTGCTAAAACAGCAAAGTTCTACAGGTATTAGTAAAGATGCAAATCCAAGCGCAGATGAGCCGTTGGTGTTTTAATAACCATGTCAGCTGGCAGGATTAGAGGACAGTGCTTAAAACATGAGCGGCAGTCTGCCTAAATCAGGGCTCCCAAGGTGTTAACACCATATGAGCTAAATTGGTGTTAGCAAAGGTGGGAAATGTGTAAAAAAAAAAAATCCCCAGCACAGACGAAACTTTAGAAATGAGGCAGAGTCCATCCTTTCCCAAGTTTTTGTCTGACAGGATGTGAATATACAGTGTTGCATGTAACTTGTTAGTTTGTTTTGTTTTAGGTCCTCATTGTGTATTTTTGTATTATATACAAAGTGATGTGTAACTGCATGCATTTTATAAATTTAAAAAAATTAAGTTTATGATTTCACAACTCAATAGATGTCTCTTTTCTTTACTAAGTGGCACAGAAAGCCATAAAATAGAACCAAAAGTGATTTCTTTTTTGTGAACCTCCCAAAAACATTATTTCTTTTTGGTGGCAGTGAATCTATTTCTATACAGCTCCTAACAGTGCATATACTAACTTTGTGAGAGAGTGCTTCTTCTTAAAATAGATATACAATTTGTAATAACAGTTTGTGCACGTTCTTGATACAACCTGCCAATACATTTGTTAAACAAGAAAAAGTGAGCAGAGATGAGAACGTTTTACTGTGACAGGGTGGGCTAGGTCCGGAGGCCCCCTGCTCGAGGCCTTGAAGCCCTGCCACACCCTGCCCCAGAAAAGGGCAGTAGAGAGGTCCTCCAAGCAGCCTAGAGTGGCTGTGTGGGAAGCAGCCAATCAGGGTCCAGCAGGCTAGTCTAAGAGAAGCTGCAGGGCCAGAGTGAGATCAGTTCCTTAATGGAGCTGGGGGAGTGTGGATAGTGTGCCTGGCTGGCTGGCTGGCTGGCTAGCTGAGAGAGCTACAGGACTTGGACAGAGCAGTGCGGGCAGAGGCCAGGGGGAACACAAAGGAGTTCTGTGCTGCTAGGACTCAACCAGGACAAGGCCCTGAAGTAAAGGTGAAGAATGTGCTGGAGCCACGGGGAAGTAGCCCAGGGAATTGTAGCTGCAACACAGTTTATTTAAAGGGATGTGGCAGATGGTTGCTATCTATAGGGTCCCTGGGCTGGGACCTGGAGTTGAGGGCAGTCACTGGGAAAGTGGTCTGGACTGTGATACATCCCAGAAGGGGAAAAGAACTCTCTTAGTGGGCCAGCTGAAAAGCTGGGGCCAGAAAGGCCTGGAGAATCGAAGACTCTCCAGGAAGGGAGCCCTGGGGTATGTGGCCCCACATCAGGGCCAGGACTGCTTTAAGAGCAGGGACAATTCAAAGGAGTCCAGAAGGGGATGAGAGACATTTCAAACCAGCATGCTGCAATAGGAGCTAGGGCTGCAAATAAAGGGACCTTACAGAAGGCACTACAATAGGCCCCCATTGGACTTAAATCCCAGAAAGGGTTTGATTTTCATCTCACATACAGACTGACTCGGCCGGAGGGCTGAGTCACCAAAGACCCACCACAAACAGAGAGAGTGAGTGTCTGGGCACATGCACTGAGACGGGGGGTGCTTGCGAGAGGGGAGTGCAGCAGTCCTGTGGAAAAAATAATATGTGACCATGTAATAGCCGTAGTATAGCTGTGCCGCTGTAAGCTTGCTAGTGTAGACATGGCCTTCAAAGGCTGCAGTGGCGCAGCTGCACTGCCATAGTGCTTCAGTGAAGACGCTACCTACGCCGACAAGAGGGCTTCTCCCATCAGCAAAGGTACTTGACCTCCCCAAGGGGCAGTATTTATGTCGATGGGAGAAGCCCTCCCATGGACATAGCACTGTCTCCAGTGGGAGTTAGGCCTATATAACTCAGTCACTCAAAGGTGTGGATTCTATGGCCTGAGGGCACTCCTCCTCCTGAATGTCAAAGGCCTGCTGCAAACAATGGAAATGTCAGAGCATCTCAAAGAAAAGCTTGCAAGAATCTTTTAGAATGGAAATTGTTAAGTAATCTAAATAATAGGGTCACTACCCGCTTTCCCTATAATAACAAAATTACATAATACTATTTACACAATCCTAATTACACCAAAGATAGAAAAGGGATAAGGAAAGTGTTCACTATAAGTTGGGCAAACCAGACATTGGGCAACCAGCTGAATTCTTCCACTTGCAATTGGGCAGAAGGAAGAGATGAGATGACAAGGGGGGAGGGGGTGGGCTGCACCTCCTTTATATAACCTGAGGTACCAATATTCATTGCTATAAGAGTGCACATTCCCTGTTGGGTATGTGTTTCAGAAGGTTCCAGAAGCTCACAGCACTACGGCTGCCTTTCCCAATCAGGGGAGAATGCAGGGACCACCCTGAAGAAGTGCTAAATAGTGAATCAATTTTTAATTTTGATTAACATCTTTAAATCAGCAAATATTTTTCTGTCAGTGCTGAAGCTCCAACGTAAACAGATCATGCAATGAGAGAGCGAAAAACAGTTCTAAATAGAAATTGCTACCTGTCCTCTTGTTGGCAGATCTTTTACGCTGTCAGGTTTAAAGAAGGTGAAATCAACCAGGGCTTGGAACAAAGACACAGCTTTCTCAGAATGGCCCGCCTGTCTAAGAAAATGGCACTGCTGAAGAAAGACAGCTGGAAAGCAAAGGGAACAAAAATCATAATACTTTAAAGGAAGAGTTAGTTCCGAAATATTGGATTGCAACACAAATATAAAGAGACACATCTCCTCCACTACCCAGTGCTGTGGAGACTCATTATGTTGGAACAAAACGACCTTCCAAAAAATTATTAAGTGTTACTGGCATGTCCAAGATTTATGTCAAGGCCTAAGTTCCCTGTAAGCTGCGTGGCCGTGCAGCAGCCTATATAACGCTGCCCAAGCGCTCAGGGAACCTGCCAGGGGATCTGCTACAGCCGAGGAGGGGCACCCCAGCCCTGCCCCTAACCTGCCACAGCAGCCCCCCAATCTCAACTATGCAGCAGCCTGGATCTGCCACAGCCGGGGTGCCCCTACCACGCGCAGCCCAGCCCCAGCCGTGGTCAGGGCAGCGCAGCCCAGCCAGACCTGGCCCCAGCTGCAGCCAGGGCATCCCAGATCTGAACCTGGCCAAGGCGGCCCGGCCCTATCACGGGGCACCCCTCTCCAAACCCAACCCCAGCCTGGACGTGTCGCAGCCGAGACGCTCCTCCCTGAACCTAGCCCCAGCCGGACCTGCAGGGGCTGGGAGAAGGGCGCCTATCCTACGGCCCTAGCCCCGGAGCTGCCGCACAGGGAGAGGCACCTCTCCCCCTCCATCCCTGGTGCTGCTGCAGGGAGATAGAGCTGCAGGGAGTCCTCGCCTATTTAGTCCAAGTGGATGTGGTCCACTCCCAATAACTGATGAAGAGGTGTCGATACCAAGAGAGGGAAAATTGCTTTTGTAGTGAGCAAGCCACTCCTAGTCCCTATTCAAGCCCAAATTGATTGTGTTAAATTTGCAAATGAATTGTAGCTCTGCAGTTTCTCTTTGAAGTCTGTTTTTGAAGTTTTGTTGTTGAAGAATGGCTACTTTTAGATCTGTTGTTGAATGTCCAGGGAGACTGAAGTGTTCTCCTACTGGCTTTTGTATGTTACCATTCCTGATGTCTGATTTGTGTCCATTTATCCTTTTACATAGAGACTGTCCGGTTTGGCCAATGTACATGGCAGAGGGGCACTGACACCTCCTCATCAATTATTGGGAGCGGGCCACATCCACCCTGACTAAATGGGCCTTCAGCATTGGTTCTCCACTTGTAAGGTAACGCCCTTCCTTTCATGTGCCAGTATATATTTATGCCTGTATCTGTAATTTTCACTCCATGCATCTGAAGTGGTTTTTTTTACCCAAGAAAGCTTATGCCCAAATAAATCTTAGTCTTTAACGTTCCACCAGACTCCTCGGTTGTCTTTGTTTATTTTCATGCAGCTAGCAATATGTTTGATTAAACACTAGATGGCATAATTCACCAGGTTTTTTAATCCGTTCATTTATCCATACTTGTCAAAGGCTGAAAACAGGATGCCTACATATGTAGTACCCACTATCTTCATAACAGGATTATGCCACCTGTAAAAAACTTGGTGCATTTATCATGACTGACAATTTGACCTGACAATGTCCCTTTACTTATTAGGAAAATTACCAAATTTAACCCAAGATTTAGGTTTGGTTAAAAGAAGCATTCGCAAAACCTGAAACTCACAGAAATATTTCCATTAGTATTATTTTAATTCTGACGTCAAAACCATTCTCCTGAAGTGTTTGCAACCCAACTATAACAGCATCATGCTAGTGCATGAGAACCAGAAAGTGAAAAATGACCAGAAACAAAAGGTGAAATTGAGTCTATTTTCATTTCAACCAGAAAGATATCAACAAAACAAACAAAAAGTTTGTTTCTTTGAAAAAAAAATTTGATCATTGTCCATTTAACACAAGGTATTTGCAAACTTTCCCCCTCAAAGGAAGTGGCAAACATTGAAAATAGTTTAAAGGTGTTTGGTAAGAAGAAGAATTTACAGATTAAGAAATAAGGACCAATAAGGATACACATACCCAGTGAAACATCCCTTACTGTGATGGCTGTAGGATGGAGGTGAGCAAACTACGGCCTATGGGACCGTCCTGCCTGGCCCTTGAGCTGCTGGCCAGGGAGGCTATCCCCCCTCCCCCACAGCAACATTGCTGCACGGGCACCGCAGCTTGGTCTGTCCAGGCAGCGGGGCTGTGAGGTCCTGCCGCTCTCAGCGGCATGGTAAGGGGGCGGCGGTGGTGGCGCACACACATGCACGCAAGGCAGCAGCCAAAAAAAAAAAAAAAAAAAAAAAAGTTGGGTAGGAGGTCCTGGGGGGCAGTCAGGGGACAGAGAGCAGGGGGCGGTTGGATGGGGCAGAGGTTCAGGGGGGCAGTTGGGACAGGGGGGTTGGATAGGTGTGGGAGTCCTGTCAGGGGGCAGGGATGTGGATGGGGGGGGCAGTCCAGGGACAGGGGAGTTGGATGGGGGTGGGGTCCCGGGGGGCCTGTCAGGGGGCGGGGGTGTGGATTGGGTTCGGGGAGGGGGGCAGTCAGGAGACAGGGGAGTTGGATGGGGGTGGGGTCCCAGGGGGCCTGTCAGGGGGTGGAGATAGGTGTGGGGGGATAGGGAGCAGGGGGTTTGGATAGGTGTGGATAGAGGTCGGGGCAGTCAGGGGACAGGGAGCAGGGGGGGTTGGACGGGGTGGGGTCCTTGGGGGGTGGTTGGATGGGTCAGAGGTTCTGAGGGGGGCAGTCAGGGGGCAGAAAGTGGGAGGGGGCAGATAGGGGGCGGGGGCCAGGCTGTTTTGGGGGCACAGCCTTCCCTACCCAGCCCTCCATACAGTTTTGCACCCCGACGTGGCCCTCGGGCCAAAAAGTTTGCCCACCCCTGCTGTAGGATGTGATTAAATTGTCAGAAATTGGAGATGTAAGAAGCTATTATCATGTGGTCCAACATCTATCTGCCAATGCAAGATTTGTTCCTATAGTATATTTCCCAGTGCTTTGTCCAGGCCTGTTTAAATGAACAACCAATATAGAAGCACTCTAAACCAACTGGTAAACACTAAACAGCACTTTAAGACTTTAAATCAAGACTGCATATCTTTCTAGAAGCTATACTATAGCTCAACCAGAAGTTAGGGGCTCGATACAGAAATTATTAGGTGAGAATCTGTGGCCTGTAATATAGGTCAGACAAGAGGATCATAAATGTTCCCTTTTGGCCTTAAAAGTCCATGAATCTAAAAGAAAAATGGTGTTGATTGTGAGACAAAAGATCCATATTTTATCTACATGCTGTTTCTCAAGTGTTTATGAATTTGTCACCACAATAAACCTGTTAGGTAGGGAAGTATTACAACCTCAATTTTACAGATGGGGAAGATGAAAGAATGAGAGATTACATGACTTGGGATATAGCCACAAAGGAAGCCTGTGTCAGAGCTGGGAACTGAACCCAACTCTCCTGCCACCAGTTCAGTGCCTCAGCCACTGACCATCCTTCCTCACAGTATAAATTATTTTATTCATATATTGTCAGTGTTTAAACTTCAAATTCTCTAGAAGGGATTCTCAGGACAAAAAAAATATAGAGACTTTCCATTATCCTTTCCCCAATAATTAAAAGTAGGGCTGTCAACCAATTACAACAATTATTTGTGATTAATTGCGCTGTTAAACAATAATAGAATACTATTTATTTAAATATTTTTGGATGTTATCTACATTTTCTACAATGTCAAACTTTAGAGCCTACAAATTCCAATCAGCCCTACTTCTTATTCAGCCTCGCTCAGACAAACAGGTTTGTTTACATTTGCAGAAGATAATGCTGCCTGCTTCTTGTTCACAATGTCACCTAAAAGTGAGAACAGGCATTCGCATGGCACTGTTGTAGCCGGCGCTGCAAGATATTTACATGCTAAATGCACTAAAGATTATGTCCTTTGATGCTTCAACCACCATTCCAGAGGACATGCGTCCATGCTGATAACAGGTTCTGCTCAATAACGATCCAAAGCAGTGCAGACCAATGCATGTTCATTTTCATAATCTGAATCAGATGCCACCTGCAGATGGTTGATTTTCTTTTTTGGTGGTTAGGGTTCTGTAGTTGGCACATCGGAGTGTTGCTCTTTTAAGACTTCTGAAAGCATGCTCCACACCTCATCCCTCTCCAATTCTGGAAGGCACTTCAGATTCTTAAATCTTGGGTCGAGTGCTGTAGCTATCTTTAGAAATTTCACATTGGTATCTTTGCATATTGTCAAATTTGCAGTGAAAGTGATCTTAAAATGAACGGCATGTCCTTGGTCATCATCCGAGACTGCCATAATATGAAATATATGGCAGAAAGAGGGTAAAACAGAGCAGGAGACATGCAATTCTCTCCCAAGGATTCAGTCACAAATTTAATTAATGCATTATTTTTTTAACAAGCATCATCAGCATGGAAACATGTCCTCTGGAACGATGGCCGAAGCATGAAGAGGCATATGAATCTTTAGCGCATCTGGCAAGTAAATATCTTGCTACGCCAGCTATAACAGTGTCATGCGAATGCCTATTCTCACTTTCAGGTAACACTGTAAATAAGAAGTGGGCAGCATTACCTCCCGTAAATGTAAACAAACTTGTTTCTCTTAGCGATTGGCTGAACAAGAAGTAGGACTGAGTGGACTTGTAGGCTCTAAAGTTTTACATTGTTTTGTTTTTGAGTGGAGTTATGTAACAAAAAAAATTGGTAAGTTACACTTTCATGATAAAGAGATTGCACAACAGTACTCGTATAAGGCGTGAATTGAAAAATACTATTTTATCATTTACAGTGCAAATATTTGTAATAAAAAATATAAAATGAGTACTTGATGTAACTGAAATAGATATATTTGAAAATGTAGAAAAACATCCAAAAATATTTAATAAATTTCAATTGCTATTCTATTGTTTAACGGTGCAATTAATCACAATTAATTTTTTTTAGTTAATCGTGTGAGTTAACTGAGATTAATTGACAGCCCTAATTAAGAGTACTTCAAAAGTTTCATCTTTAACAAATGATATAACTGCTATTTGCTGCGCAAACCAAAGGAATTTATTTTGTGAAGGTAAGCAACACACCTATTTGCTGTTGGCTAGATTCCCTTCCCTTGAAATTTGTACTTTAAACTCTTCAGAGCATTACTGGATGTGATATCACAAGCTCTCTTGGGGAAGGGAAGCATCTGCTGTATCCATATTGGGCTTGAATATTTACTTTTACTATCACCTAAAGAGGCAAGATGCCAGATATTTTCAGCAGGCTCTTTGCAAAGCAAAAAATTAGCACAATACAGAGAGAATCTCTTCCTAAAATATATTCAGCCTTTGTGAAAATCTTAATAGCCATAAAATGAGATATAAAAAGATAACCTTCTTACCTAACATAGCTTCCTCTGTGCCAGGTAGTATAGGATGTGATACCATGCTGCCATCCTGTACAGCTGCCAAAGTGCTCAAACATTTTCCATATAAACTATGGACTTTTGAAACTGAAAAGGTGCTGAACTGACTTTGACAAAATAAGAGATATTTCTGCCACAGCAGTGGATTATTGGGATGCAGAAAAACCAGCTTCTGCCATTCTTTGATCAAAGTTGATGGTTCCCAGAATTCTGTACAAAGCTTCAGCTTGGCAAGTTTCAGATCAACATCATTTGGGTTGCTTTCAATAGCTCTCTCTAAAATGGCCAGTTTCTTTTCTAGGATTAGCTTGAATGATTTTCTCCTTATTTCCTGCTCTCCCTCTTTGATGGCATAAGGGCTAGGTCCTCTCATTATTTCATCCTTAAAAGAAAAGGAAATCAACTCAGTTATAAATACAGAAGGGTCTCAGGCTTTGAAGGAGCACTAAGGAGAAGGTTGACATAAGTGACAATGAATGACTGCATCTCTCTCTATTAGTGCAAGTTGTTAAATCACACAAGAATATTTCATGTACTATAATAGAATACACACATATATAATTTAACTCAGAAACAAGATGTTAAGCAGAAAATTATTACTCAGATACAAATAAAATAAATATATCACAAAGTACTGCAATGAGAAATACAAGACTGTGTACCTGAAAAGAAACAAATTCCATCCAAGTGTGAACATCTCTTGGATTTTCTCTGACCATCCTATTATATTCTTCCACTTTTGCCATTAGAATAGAGTTAACATTCCCACTGGTCTCTTGGGATGCCTGCTGCTTTAAAGTCTCATGCTCTGGGGGACCTTTTCCTTGCAACCAGAGTGTGGTCAATGGATCATAAATCCCAAGAGGATTCACACAGGTTGTTGTAGTAGGAGCATCACTGTCCAGTTGTGAAACTGGTATAAAAGTGCTTGAACCAAATGAAGTTTGGCTTTTACTGTAAACTGGAATTCCATCTGTGGTCAATAATTTCACACTATTCTTCGTGAAGTAGCGTTCAGGTCGGTTGGGGGATTGTTTCTTTTCTACAATGGAACTTTCCCAAGTTATACATTGTTTCTTTAGGTCAATACCAAGGCATGAGTCACCTTTCCGCTTGTATCTTAAAGAAAAAAATACAACAATGCATTTTTTAAAAATGTGACTATTAAAATACACATTAGTCAAATATGTATTTTTATCTTTCAGAAGACAGAAGTTCGCTTTTCAGTATTTCCTAATTAAATTAGATATTTGTAAAGGAGTGGTAGCTCTCAGAGCAAAACAGTGTAAAAGGCGCCCCAGACTGGAGAATTCAAGGGACGCAGCTGTTCATCAGTCCAGCTTGTACCCTGGTTAATGTCACATACCCCCATTTAAAACCTTGTGAATTTTTGAAATGCCTTTTCCTGATTGTGCATTTTGGTGAGCACACCTCTAGCAGCTCACCATTGTTGTGCCAGCTACACGATCCTGATGCGCTCTGGCCAGGAGTAGACAGGAGATAATGGATCTCCCGGCCTGTGTAGAGAAGAGGCTATGCACACACAACTATGGGCCAGCCATAGAAACATGGACATCTACACCCCCTGTGCAATCTGCTCATAGAAGAAGGGGTGTGATGGGGATCAGCAGCAGTGCCATGTGAAAGCAAAGGAACTGTGGCAGGCATATCAGAAGGCCAGGGAGGCCAACAATCAATACTGTGCCAAGACACAGACCTGCTCCTTTTACAAAGAGCTGCATGCCATACTTGGCAGAGACCCCACGACCACCTCCACACGTGCATACTGCAAAGCAGTCTGTGTCACAGGCCCCTTCTGTGAACATAGAGGACAAGGAGGTGATGGAGGAGGAAGAAGAGGATGGGGAATACAAGTCCGGGGGTGGAGGGAGGCTGCTCTGCTGTAAACCAGGACCTGTTTGAGACTCCACCGCAGTCCAGTCAGTCCCGGCGGTCAAGCATGGGCAAGCCTGATGCAGGAGAAGGAACCCTGGGTAACTGTGTAAATTTGTCACTATAGTAAAGGCACCCCCAACTTCTCAGGACACAGCTATTGACTTTTCATTAATTTATTTGTACCAGAAGAATGTACAAGGTAGAAATGTTATCAGCTTTTCATTCTCCCTCTAGAGTTGGGCAGGGGGCCATGCAGAGCAGTTTATGTACACAGGGATGTCCCTTGAATCCTCCTGCGTGATCTCAATGAAATTTTCATGGAGGTACACTGCAATCCTCTCCTGAAGGTTTTCTATGGATGGCAGCCTCATTTCTTCCTCCTCAGTAGGACACTTTCCCATGCCAGTCAGCGATAACTTTGACAGGCACCATTGCAGGCTAGCAGCATATGGGCCTGAACAGCTTTGGGACACCAGCACAGCTATGTACTCTGTGCCTTTATTACCTTCAGGAGTGAGATACCAGCTAAAATCACCACTGCCTGTGGAAAATAGTGTCAGTATTCAATGCCATTGCCCTATACTCCCACAGAGATTCATGCAATTAAGCAATTCCCTCCTCATTTCCCTCACCACAGCAGGCCATACTCACCAGGGTTGGTGCTGTGAGTGGCGCTATGCACAATCACTGCAAAGCAGAAGCGTCAATAAACAAGTCTTGTTTAAAACTTTAGGGAAGCAAGGGAAGTGAGTTCTGAATCTTAACTTCTGATTTCCATTGTGACTATACTGACTATGGCACCTCTGTGTTCTATCTGTAGCTGCGCCGAAGCAGCTTTGAGGGGTTTCCACCCACACGGAACACCTGAGCCAGATAAAGAGGAGAAAAAAAGGACTCAGGATGGACATGTTCTGAGAGATCCTGCAAGCCAGTGCTGCATCAGTCTATGAACAGATGGTCTGGAGGATGAATATTGCAGGCTATGTGGAGATGGAAAGAGCGGATAGGAAAAAGGCCCAGGGGGCCTAGCAGGAAAAGAAGGAGATGCACCAGGGTATAATGGCGCTTTTCCAAAAGCAAACACAGATGCTGCAGATTCTTGTGGACCTACAGGTTCAACAATCACAGACTCGCCTCCCTTTGCAGTCCTGCAGCATAGTGCTTCTCTACACCCCCTTCCCCCAGCATTCTACGTGGCATCAGGGGCCGCATCCCTATCCCTACCACGCCAGACAAGGGTACAGTAAAGACAACCACAGCTTCACATACATCGGCCATGGCTCTCACAGGTCATAAGAACATCCATACTGGGTCAAACCAATGCTCCACCTTGCCCAGTATCCTCCAACTGTGACCAATGCCTTGATGCTTCAAAGAGAACAAACAGAACAAGGCAATCAAGTGATCCATCCCATCATCCAGTCCCAACATCTAGCAATCAGAGGCTTAGGGACACCCAGAGCATGGAGTTGCATCCCTGACCATCCTGGCCAACAGCCACTGACAGACCTATTCTCCATAAACTTATCTAATTCTTTTTTGAACCTAGTAATACTTTTGGACTTTACAACAGCCTATGGCACTAAGTTCCACAGGCTGACTGCATCTTGTGTGAAGCAGTACTTCCTTTTGTTTGTTTTAAATCTGCTGCCTATTAATTTCATTGGGTGGCCCCCGGTTCTTGTATTATGTTAAGGGGTAAATAACACTTCCTTATTTACTTTCTCCACACCATTCATGATTTTATAGACCTCTATCACATCTCCCCTTAGTTATCTCTTTCCCAAGATGAACAATTCCAGTCTTTTTAATCTCTCCTCATATGGAAGTTATTCCATAACCCTAATCATTTTTGTTGCCCTTCTCTGTACCATTTCCAATTCTAATATATCTTCGAGATGGGGTGACCACAACTGTACACGGTATTCAAGATGGGCATACCAGAGATTTATATAGTGGCATTTTGATATTTTCTGTCTTATTATGTCCCTTTCCTAATGATTTTTAATGCTCTTTTAGGTTTTTTGACCGATGCTGCACATTAAGCAGATGTTTTCAGAGAACTATCCACAATGACTCCAAGGTCGTCTTCTTGCATAGTAACATTTAATTTAGAACTCATCATTTTATATGTATAACTGCATGTGCATTGCTTCTGATTTATCAACACAATTTCACCTGCCATTTTGTTGCCCGGTCACCAGTTTTGTGAGATCCCTTCTAACTCTTCACAGTCTGCTTTGGACTTAACTATTTTGAGTAATTCTGCATCATCTGCAAATTTTTCTACCTTACTGTTTAACCCTATTTCCAGATGATTTATGAATATGCTGAACAGCACTGATCCCAGTATGGATCCCTAGGGGACCCCACTATTTACCACTCTCCATTCTGAAAACTAACCATTTATTCCTACCCTTTGTTTCCTGTCTCTTACCAGTTACTGATCCATGAGAGGGCCTTCCCTCTTATCCCAGAGCTGCTTACTTTGCTTGAGAGCCTTTGGTGAGGGACCTTGTCAAAGGCTTTCTGAAAGTCCAAGTACACTATATCCACTGGATCATTGTTGTCCACATGTTTGTTGACTTCCCTTAAAGAATACTAATAGATTAGTGAGCAATGATTTCCCTTTACAAAAGCCATGTTGACTCATCCCCAACATATATTCATTTATGTGTCTGGTAAGTCTGTTCTTTTGTATAGTTTCAACCAATTTGCCTGGTACTTAAGTTAGGCTTCCTGGCCTGAAAATGCCAGAATCACTTGCACCTTTTTTTCTTTCTTTTTTTTAAAATTTGCATCATATTAGCTATCCTTCAGTCATCTGGAAAAGAATTAGATTTAAGTGACCAGTTACATACCACTTAGTAGTTCTGCAATTTCGTATTTGAATTCCTTTTGAACTCTTGGGTGAATACCACCCGGTCCTGGTGCCTTACTACTATTTAATTTATCAATTAGTTTCAAAACCTCCTCTATTGACACCTCAATCCGGAACAGTTCCTCAGAATTGTCACCTAAAAAAAATGGCTGAGGTGTGGGAATCTCCCTCACATCCTCTGCAGTGAATGTAAGTGTACATATAGCTAAATGGACATGAATGTTACTTCCTCTTCTTTGTGCTGTATCCTAAAATTAAGGTTTTAATGTATTTACTGTTAACTTGTAAAAAAAAAAAAAAATTCTGAGGTGCTTTTTGTTAGTCAATAAAAGTCTTGTTTGGAAAATAATTTATCTTTTAGTTCCCAACAGATGCTGCATAATGCCTGATGTCAGTGAAAGCAGTGGTAGTGTACAGTAACTCCTCACTTAACATCGCCCAGTTAATGTTTCATTAGGTTGCTGTTCTGTTAGAGAACATGCTCATTTAAAGTTGCGCAATGCTCCCTTATAACGTTGTTTGGCAGCCGCCTGCTTTGTCCACTGCTTGCAGGAAGAGCAACCCGTTGGAGCGAGTTGGTGGGGGCTTGGAACCAGGGTGAGCTGGCAGCCCCCCATCAGCTCCTGTAAGTTCCCTGCGCAGCAGCCGCCCAGCAGGCTATCAATTGCCAGGTAGTTCAGGTGTCCCTCCAACCACTGCCATGTGCTGCTCCTGCCCTCTGCCTTGGAGCTGCTCCCAGGAGCCTCCTGTTTGCTGGAGGGAGGGGGGAAGAGGGGTGGTGATGTCAGGGTGTCCTCCTTCCCCCTGCTCCTGTACCCCATCTCCACAGAGCATGGTGGGAACAGGACAGGGCTCAGGATGGAGGGAGCTTGGTGGCAGCAGCTGCTGTCTCAACTTGCTGATCTACTTAAAAAGGCTGTGTACTTAAGAGTGGGGTCAGCGTACTTAAAGAGGCAAAGCGCGTCTCTCTCTCTCTCTCACACACACACACACGCGCACGCACACACACACACGCACCCCCTTGCACTTTGGAAAGTGGAGGCAGTGGTGCACTCCAGTGGGATAGCATGAGTTCATTATGTTCAGTTTCTGCAGGGAATGTTTGCAGCCATTGCCATGCGTCTATTGTATCTCCTCCCTCCATTCGTGCTGCCTTGTAGAGCGTGAGGCTACTTTAAAATTATTTCCCCCTTGCCTATAGCAATCCAGCGCTGCAAGTTTCCACAATATGACTGTCACTCACTTCTCCACTGTCAGTACAGTTCTCATTTTAGTGTCCCTGCACTGAGGGCTGGGGTGAGCTTGGCACAGAGATTCAAGAATGTGGCCTTGCACATCCAAAAGTTCTGTAGCCACTGCTCATCATCCCAAGCCTACATTATGATGTATTCCCTCCACTCAGTGCTCCATTTCTCAGGCCCAGAAGCAGCGTGCCACTATTTGCAGCTGCTCCATGACCACCACCAATGATTTGGAACTGATTCTTGCAATCTGCCCTCCAGGAAATTGTCATGTTCCCCATACACCTTCTTGTGGCTCTGCAAATACCAGAGGATCACGAATCCCGTGGTTGCAACACTCATGACAATAGTACAGAGAGCTGTGCAGGCTCCATGCTTCTGTCACAGATGGCAGATAGTGACAAGTCCTGTGCAGGTTCATGGGATTTTCAAAATAGCAGTGAATATTATGGGATGGAGATGGCATTATGGCGTGGAGAAAACTACATAATGGGAACTTGACCCAACAGTCCCAGTCTCCCTTGCACTACTCATTTCTGCCCCACTATGCATTTCCAAAACTTCCCAAAAGACAGTGCACTGGACGGTGGCAAGTTGCACACTGGGATACCTACCCATGGTGCACCACACACTACATCAAAACTACCACTCCTGGTGAGTACATGCACCACCAACACATAGAGCCAAGTATGCTGTGACGTTATTGACATAAACTGTAACCGTATAGATCATTGTTGCAACCACTGTTATATATTTGCAGCAAAAATTGTATAAAGGTTGTCATGTAAGGGGTCTATGGAAAGGTTATGATTTGCTAATTATGATTATGCTAGCTGTATGTGTGTATCATTTTTGTAACTGAAGTTATGAATATTGGCTATGTACTTGTATCTTAATGTGTTTTGATTCTAAGTGGCCTCAGTGAAACATTTGGTCAGCTTCTTGAGAAGGGACTATTCTCAGTAAGTGCCCAATCAAGAAACACTTAGCGACAATGAACTTTGGGAGACGCCAATCCACATCTGAGCTTTCCTGGGAACGCTCAAACTAACAAGTAAACAATGGGGTCGGCCTATAAAGAACTGAGTCATGCATGAACATGTGACTTGCCCATGTGACTCCAAACTCCACCTTGCTGTGATCTTGGACAGGAGAACCAAGGGGTTTCCACCCACAAGAGAAAGCCTATAAAAGGCTGCTGCATCTCCTCCATTTCGTCTTCAGTCCTGCTTCTTGCCTCTGGAGGGACTTTGCTACAAACTGAAGCTCTGAACAAAGGACTGAATGACCCATCCCAGCTGTGGATGTACTCCAGAGACTTGATTTGAACCTGCAGTATATTCCATCACTGCTACAAGCCTGAACCAAGAACTTTGCCATTACTGTATGTAATTGATTCCATTTAACCAATTCTAGCTCTCATCTTTTTCCTTTTATGAATAAACCTTTAGATTTTAAATTCTAAAGGATTGGCAATAGTGTGATTTGTGGGTAAGATCTGATTTATATATTTATCTGGTCTGGGGCTTGGTCTTTTGGGATCGGATGAACCTTTTTTTTTACTGGGGCATTGGTTTTCATAACCATTCATCCCCATAATGAGTGGCACTGGTGGTGATACTGGGAAACTGGAGTGTCTAAGGGAATTGCTTGTGTGACTTATGGTCAGCAAGTGGGGTAAAACCGAAGTCTTCTGTTGTTTGGCTGGTTTGGTTTGCCTTGGTGTGTAAAGGAACCCCAGCCTTAGGCTGTAACTGCCCTGTTTGAAGCAGCTTGTCCTGAATTGGTACTCTCAGTTGGGTCCCACCAAAGCCAGCATCATTGCATGTGCATGTGCATAAACAATATACTAACCGCAATGCCTTTATGATGATGTAACTTGCATTGGCAAAAGTTTGTAGTGTACATGCCCTGAGTATTACTCCCATTTTACAGATGAGAAAACAGACACAGAAATGTTAAGACTTAACCAAAATCACAACAGGTCAGAGACAGAAGCTAGAACAGAACCCAGGATTCCTGACTTCCAGTCCCCTGCATGCACTGCTAGACTCCACTGCCATCTTCTAATGGTAGTTCTACATGTACACTGAGGAGTGACTGTACACCATAATGTTAAGACTATCCATGAGCAAACATGACATCACTTACTCTGATTATTCCAAGACATCTTTTGTGATGTGAAAACTATTTCCACATACCATAAAGTTGAGTTTCAATATAGAAGAGTGTGGAATCACAAAAGTCTGAATAGATAATTTCACATAAGAATGGCCATACTGAGTCTTCTGATAGTGGCCAATGCCAGGTGCTTCAGAGGGAATGAACAGAACAGGTAATCATCAAATGATCCATCCCCTGTCGCCCATTCCCAGTTTCTGGCAAACAGAGGCTAGGGACATTACTGAGCATGGTTTTACATTTTATAAATAAATATTTTTAGTGTCAAACTTTTAATATCTCACCACTAACATGTCTAGAGACATTTTAAGTATCAAAACAAAACAGCGCATTGTACCTTGCTATGTCCCCTCGATACAGTGACTTGTATTCCCAGTTTGCAGGGTCTGGTTTCTTGTCTGTTCTGAAGGTTTCTGCTGTCAAAGCCTGAATATCCTCAAGCCAAACAAAGCGATTGGTGGCAACATTTGATGTAATGTCTTCTAGACTGAAAAAGGGGGAAGAAGCATTTTCTGAACATCTGAGTTAAACATTAAGCATTTACAAAACCAGGAAATTTAACATTTCTAGATCCTATAATAAATTATGCACATTCAAAAGGCCATGATACATGTACCATTTAACAAATAAGTCACATACTGGTGAAAGAGATGAGAAAACTGAAGTGGAAATTTACCACTGGAGCCACCAATACAGTGAACTTTCAAGAGAAAATCATTCACTGCATTTCGAAAAATGGACTTCCAAGAGCATGGAAAGTGCTCAACAGGATTTAATAAATGGGTTTCTTACTAAGTCTAAAGCCTGCAAGAAGAAACATTGCTATTAATTGGAACTTCTTCTATAAGAAAAAGTAAATCAAAAAGGGGACAATCGGTGCTATACTGTGTTAATTTTCTATAACAATACCAATGCAATTCAGTAAAATGTAAAGGTTTTATGAATTAGTTACATAAGTCATATTTTTTTTAAAAGATGCAGCTAAGTTACCTCTCTAAGAACTGCAAGATATGGTGAATTCTGCTTTCACATTTGTATTACAAATGTGAATATTAAAAAAGGAGCTTCAGCGCCTTGACAAGGTTTCCAACATTCACCTGTGACAAGGCACTCAAGAGGGTTTCACAGTTTATGTTTCAGATGGAAATGCTAACAGGAATAATTCTGCGCATAGGTCCCATGTTAACATCAGTTTGAGTTTTAAACCTAAAATTTAACACAGATTTATACTTAAAGAGTGTTTATATAGGTTTTTTTTTCTGAGAAAACTTAAAACAACCTATATGCACAGTATAGGTACCGTACAAGAACATCAATCCTTTTGTTTGGGCACCTGAATTACATTTAAGTCATCAAAGACCAATGAGTGGTCAGTGCGAAATGGAAGGCCCACTTTTTGAGCCTGGGCACCCAATGTATCCATGTAAGCTCTTTTTCCTATTCAAATCATCATACTGGTCACTTTAAAACATTTTTCTTGCTACATATAGACTAGTTACTCATTATTTTAGTGTCTCTGAAAGCAGCAAGCCAAGGTGATATAATACAGTGGCTCTCAACCTTTCCAGACTACTGTACCCCTTTCAGGAGTCCGATTTGTCTTGCATACTCCAAGATTCACCTCACTTAAAAACTACTTGGTTACAAAATTAGACATAAAAACACAAAAGTGTCACAACACACTATTACTGAAAAATTGCTTCCTTTCTCATTTTTACCATACAATTCTAAATAAATCAATTGGAATATAAATATTATATTTACATTTCAGTGTATAATATACAGAGAAGTATAAACAAGTCATTGTCTGTATGAAATTTTAGTTTGTACTGACTTCGCTAATGCTTTTTATGTAGCCTGTTGTAAAACTAGGCAAACATCCAGATGAGCTGACATGCTCCCTGGTTGAGAACCACTGATATAATAGAACATCACTCATTCAAATCTTGATTTACATATACAAAAAATAAAGTGTATGATGCATACTAATGAATGGCTAAAGGCCAGAAATAAAACTAAAAATACTAAATTAATACAAACATCAATATACATCTTATAATGAATGCCCACTGCTGAGAGGGGAAATTATGAATGCACAGTATAATGAAACACTTCCCCTTAGGAAAAACAAATTTTTGCTTCAATATTCAACAACTTCAATTTTCTGCAGTATCTAAGGACATCGTTTAATACAATTCCCCTCAAAGCACAATAGGTTACTCAAGGATTAATATAAGGAAACAAAGATTTACAATAATTCACAGGGAGCATTAACATTAAAAAAGCACCACATTTTCATTGCTCTGCTATTCTGTTCAGCTCTAAAAAAAAATACTTCATAAAATATTCCTCGGCATAATTTTTCAGATGCAACAATTAATAAAAAATGTTTGAGTGTTTCTTGTTCTGTTCTGAGATGGTTACAATGGAAGTTTAAACTTATTCTTTTAAGAGTCAGAACTGACCCACTGGTGAGAGTATTCTCATCTAAACAGTGCAAACACCACATACAGTACTAGAATAGGATTATATTTATATCCAAGCATATTAGTAAAATGCACATACTTCAATGTTGCTGCTTCTCTTTCACGGTTTGTGTCACTTCCTCTAGGTTTATCCCTCATACACTCACTGTCCAAGTCTGACTCACTGTTACTTGATTCTTCTCTGGTTTTCTTTTTTCTTTTTTTGTGGTGATGATGCTTTTTCTTTTTCCCTTTCCTTTTCTTAGTTGATTTTTTTAGATCTTCATTGGTGTCACTTCCTCCTGAGAGCTCTGACCTTGAAGGACTCCTGCTAAGAAACATAATTCCTTATATAGTTAGAACAATTTTAAAGAAATTTCACCAGTGAGAAAGTCCATAACCAGAGTTTTCCTCATCCCCCAAATTACAGGGAAGGATAGCTCTCAGACAGTGAATTGCATCAATGGTTGCCACAAAAGTCAAAGAAATCTGCGTAACAGCCACCATTTACCTTTAAAATTATTGAAATTTGTTTTGAAATTACTACTTGAGACAGGTCATACAAAGTTGTACTTGCCCATGGTAAGTACACTTTGACAAGTGAATAAATATCAGTAGTCCTTTCCATTACCACCCCCAGAGTAAAACCGAATGAGTTGCTTTTGTACCTATGCTGATAAATTTTCAAGACAATTTTGCAAGGCCACTTTCACTTTAGATCAAGTTAAAATGATTGGAGGGGCCTTCAAGCAGGGGAGGGGAGAAATTGACTAGTACTCTTTTTTGCTTTTTATTGATGCATAAGAAATACCTGAAAGATGTGTTGTAAAATATATATATATGCTTTTTAGATTAGAAATACAGTTCTTGCTGATTTTGGAAGACTCAGTGATCACCAGAGAATTAGTGAAATTTTGACAGTACACGCAACCGAAAGCTGAGCAATTGAGAAGATAAAGAAAGCAACTGAGAGGATACTCACTGTTAATTTCAGTATATAATGAACAGTTGGAAGAAGGGATGTCTTTGTTAAGAATTCAACATAAGTACCCTCTCAGCTAAGATACAAGCTGACAATAAACATCTGATACTTTCAAGACGTCTTTCAGTAAAAAGCAAGAGAGACCAGACTTGACATTCTTGATATTTCGAAGATCAAAAACCATCAGAAAAAGCACTCTTTCAGGGGCAAAAAAGAAGCGTGGTAAACTGCACTCAACCAAACAGCATTCATTTTAACATGACTAAATATAAGGGTATACATCTAGAAACAAAGAATGTAGGTGATACTTATAGAATGATGTCAAGTATCCGGGGGTAGCTGTGTTAGCCACAAAAACAACAAGGAGTCTGGTGGCACCTTAAAGACTAACAGATTTATTTGGGCATAAGCTTCTGTGGGTAAAACACTACTTCTTCAGATGCATCGAAGCTTATGCCCAAATAAATCTGTTAGTCTTTAAGGTGCCACCAGACTCCTTGTTGTACTTATAGAAGGGGAGTCTATTCTGGGAAGCAGTGACTCTGAAAAACTTGGGGGTCATGGCTGATCATCAGCAGAACAAGAGCTTCCACTGTGATGCTATTGTCAAAAGAGCTAACACGATCCTAGGATTCATAAGCAGGGGAATCTCGAGTAGGAGTAGAGAGGTTATTTTACCTCAGTATTTGGCACTGGTGTGACTACTGCTAAAATACTATGTGAGGTCCGTGCCCACAATTCAATGTTGATGATAAATTGGAGAGGGTCCAGAGAAGAGCCACGAGAAGAATTAAAGGATTAGAAAACATGTCTTACAGTGATAGACTCCAAGTGCTCAATCTATATAGTTTAACAAAAAAAGAAGATTAAGGGGTGACTTGATTACAATTTTTAAGTATCTACATGGGGAACAAATATTTAATAATGTGCTCTTCAATCTAGTAGAGAAAGGTAAAACATGATCCAATGGCTAGAAGTTGAAGCTAGACAAATTCAGATGGAAAATAAGGTGAGAGTAACTAACCAGGAACTATGGATCCCTAGCCTCTGTTTCCCAGAAGCTGGGAACGGGCGACAGGAGATGAATCCGTAGGTGATTATCTGTTCTGTTCATTCCCTCTGAAGCACCTGGGATTGGGCACTGTCAGAAGACGGGACTGAGCTAGATGGACCTTTGGTCTGACCCAATATGGCCGTTCTTATGTTCTAGGGATCATGATGGATTCTCCATCACTGACCATTTTTAAAACTAGATTGGATGTTTTTCTAAAAAGTATGCTCTATGAATTATTTTGGGGAAGTTCTATGGCCTGTGTTATACAGGAGGTCAAACTAGATAATCATAATGGTTCCTTGTGGCCTTGGAATCTACAAAAACACTTTGCACCCTTCTTCATAAAGATGTCCCCCCCCCCCCCCCCAAAAAAAAGGGCACAAACCCAACCTTTTAAAAATTATCTACAGATTACCTTTCAGGAAAACAAACAGGTGTTAAAAAAAATCCATGAAGGGGCTACTGCTGATCATTGAGGAAAAACCCTCGAAACCCAAAAGTTAAGCAGTCAAATTAATAAAATAATTCCTCTGTATATTTTCTTTCTTGATAGTTTAATACAAATTATATTTTATTTAAAATATTCACTGTTTACATAATGTCATCTGCAAGGTAATTTTAAGAATTCCTTTTACTTTATCACATTATAAGCCTGTAAAGACTTGAAGAAAAATGACAAATACACAAAGTTTTGGCAAGTTTAGCTGCAGAAGTTATATTGTGATAACTCAAGTCCAACATAAGTTGGTGATAGAGATGGGTTCAACTTTGATTTTTGTAATGAACACATTTTCTGTCATTACAAAGAGCAGCCAACACATCAAACAGAGGACTTTGTTCCAAAATACACATCACTGAAGTTCAGAACTTTCCTGCTTCAACCTGACTCATAGACTTTAAGGTCAGAAGGGACCATCATGATCATCTAGTCCAGAGCTGGGCAAACTACGGCCCGTGGGCCACATCCGGCCCGCAAGACCGTCCTGCCTGGCCCTGAGCTCCTGGCCGGGGAGGCTAGCCCCTGGCCCCTCCTCTGCAGGCACACTGCCGCGTGGGCAGCACACCTTGCACCCACCCACCGCCCAGATTTTCCAATAAGTCTGTCCTGCCACTCTGAGCGGCATGGTAAGGGGGCGGTGGGAGGGGGGATTGGATAAGAGGCAGGAGGTCCCAGGGGGCAGTCAGGGGACAGAGGCCGGTTGGATGGGGGAGGCAGTCAGGAGACAGGGAGATGGGGGGGTTGGATGGGGGTCAGGGGGTCCGGGGGGGGGGGAAACAGGGAGCAGGAGTGAGGGCTGGATAGGGGGTGGGGTCCTAGGTGGACAGTTAGGGACGGGGGTCCCGGGAGGGGGCAGTCAGGGGACAAGGACTGGGGGGGAGAGGGGTTGGATGGGTCTGGGATCCTGGAGGGCCTGTCAGGGGCAGGGGTGTGGATGGGGGTGGGGTCCCAGGAGGGGGCAGTCAGGGGACAAGGAGCAGGGGGGGTTGGATGGATCTGGGGTCCCGGGTGTGGATGGGGTCAGGGCAGTCAGGGGACAGGGAGTGGGGGGGAGGGGGGTTGGATAGGGGGTGGTCAGGGGACAAGGAGAAGGGGGGGTTGGATGAGTCGAGGGCAGTCAGGGGGCGGGAAGTGGGAGGGGGCGGATAGGGGGCAGGAGCCAGGAGCCAGGCTGTTTGCGGAGGCACAGCCTTCCCTAACCGGCCCTCCAAACCGATTCGCAACCCTGATGTGGCCATCGGGCCAAAAAGTTTGCCCACCCATGTGACCTGCACATTGCCAGCCACAGAACCTAACCCACCCACTCCATTAACTACTGCAGAATGCACCCAAGACTTAAATCAATATGTCTAGTATTGCACCTCTTGGGCAAAGTGTTTAAAACACAACCCTGTATTCCATAAAACTGGATCTATTTCTTTTAATCAAAATTAGCTTTAATCAGCTATTTAAGTGATCTATAAGATTAAATTGCAACTCCACAACTTTACATAGGATAGTATTTCATTAATTCACATCTCTGCACAGTTTATAACTGACAATTTTCTATATTCGACTATGGTAGGGAAAGTGGCTATTTGAACTGGTTTTCATAAAAAGGGGGAAAAAAATCACAAAGATGATACCTAAGCCTCAGCATTCCTTCAAGGATTACTTAGAATATTTAAAAGCAAATGAAAAATCATGATTAAGGCTGTGAGTTTGTCACGGAAGTCACAGAAAGTCACAGATTCCGTGACTTCTACAGCAGCCAGGGCAGCTGCTTGGGGCAGCCACTGCCAGGGCAGTCTTGGGCCACTGCACCCCCCTCCCACAGCACCAGCAGATGTTTGGGTGTGGGAGGGGGCTAGAGCTTGGGGTGCAGGAGGGGGTGAGGCTTCTAGGCAGCACTTACCTTGGGGGGCTCCCCAGAAGCAGGTACATACCTTGGGTCCTAGGCGGAGGCGCGACCAGGGGGTTCTGTGCGCAGTTTTTGCCTGCAGGCACTGCCCTCGCAGCTCCCATTGGCCGGGAGTCGCAGCCAATGGGACCTGGGGAGTCGGCACTCAGGGTGGCTGCAGCATGCAGAGCTGCCTGGTCGCGCCTCCGCCTAGGAGCTGAGGGAGTGAGATGTCAATGGAGACTACACCAAATATGAGCCCCAGCAGGATACAGGGTGGGTTGAAGAGGATTACAAGGGAGAATAAGAATGGAAAGAACTTGCAGCCAGAGGGAACAGGGGATAGACTGGAGAATAGCACCGTCACCAGGAAAAGGCAGGTCTATGTGATCGGGGACTCTTTACTGAGAAGAATAGACAGGCCTGTAACCAGAGCTGATCCAGAGAATAGAAGGGTATGCTGTCTTCCAGGTGCTAAGATACGGGATGCAGACCTGAGGTTGAAAAGGATCCTAAAGGGAGCAGGAAAGAATCCCCTGATTATCCTTCATGTGGGAACAAATGATACAGCTAGATTCTCGCTGGAAAGTATTAAGGGAGACTTGCTAGGCTGGGGAAGATGCTTAAGGAAATCGAGGCTCAGGTAATCTTTAGTGGGATTCTGCCTGTTCCTAGAGAAGAGCAACAAAGGTGTGACAAGATTATGACTATCAACAGATGGCTTAGACAGTGGTGCTATAAGGAGGGCTTTGGGATGTATGACCGCTGGGAGGCATTCATGGACAGAGGACTGTTCTCTCAGGATGGACTTCATCTGAGTAGGGAAGGAAATAGACTTCTAGGATGGAGGCTGGCACAATTGATTAAGAGAGCTTTAAACTAGGAAATTGGGGGACATGGTTGGGAGATGTCCAGGTAATCTCCACGCCAGATTTTAGCATTGAGAGGGAATAAAAAGAAGTAAGAAAGGATACAGCCGTGGGTAGGAGAATGTATATAAGGAGGAAGGGCAGTGTGGATACCAGTCTAATAGGATATACTGGCTGTAGAAGGACTGGGCCTAATGGGTACAGAATGTGAGTGAGGCCAAACAGCAAAAATTAAGATGTTTGTACATCAATGCGAGGAGCCTAGGTAACAAAATGGAGGAACTAGAGCTACCGGTGCAGTAAGTGAAACCAGATATTTTAACAGAAACATGGTGGAATAGTAGTCATGACTAGACTACAGGTATTGAAGGGTATGTGCTGTTTAGGAAAGACAGGAAAGACAGAAATAAAGGTAAAGGTGGTGGAGTAGCATTGTACATCAATGATGAGGTAGAATGTAAAGAAATAAGAAGTGATGGAATGGATAAGACAGAGTCCGTCTGGGCAAAAATTACACTGGGGAAGAAAATTATTGGAGCCTCCCCTGGGATAGTGCTTAGGGTGTGCTATAGACCGCCAGGATCTAATTTGGATATGGATAGAGCCCTCTTTAATGTTTTTAATGAAGTAAATACTAATGGAAACTGTGTGATCATGGGAGACTTTACTTCCCAGATATAGACTGGAGGACGAGTGCTAGTAATAATAATAGGGCTCAGATTTTCCTAGATGCGATAGCTGATGGATTCCTTCATCAAGTAGTTGCTGAACCAACTAGAGGGGATGCCATTTTAGATTTGGTTTTGGTGAGTAGAGAGGACCTCATAGAAGAAATGGTTATAGGGGACAATCTTGGTTCAAGTGATCATGAGCCAATTCAGTTCAAACTGAACAGAAGGATTAACAAAAATAAATCTACAACTAGGGTTTTTGATCTCAAAAGGGCTGACTTTCAAAAATTAAGGAAATTAGTTAGGGAAGTGGATTGGACTGAAGAACTTATGGATCTAAAGGCAGAGGAGGCCTGGGATTACTTTAAATCAAAGCTGCAGAAGCTATCGGAAGCCTGCAACCCAAGAAAGGGGAAAAAATTCATAGACAGGAGTTGTAGACCAAGCTGGATGAGCAAGCATCTCAGAGATGTGATTAAGAAAAAGCAGAAAGCATACACGGAGTGGAAGATGGGAGGGATCAGCAAGGAAAGCTACCTTATTGAGGTCAGAATATGTAGGGATAAAGTGAGACAGGCTAAAAGTCAAAGTAGAGTTGGACCTTGCAAAGGGAATTAAAACCAATAGTAAAAGGTTATATAGCCATATAAATAAGAAGAAAACAAAGAAAGAAGAGTGGGACCGCTAAATACTGAGGATGGAGTGGAGGTCAAGGATAATCTAGGCATGGCCCAATATCTAAACAAATAATTTGCCTCAGTCTGTGATAAGGCTAAAGAGGATCTTAGGGATAGTGGTAGCATGACAAATGGGAATGAGGATATGGAGGTAGCTATTACCATATCTGAGGTAGAAGCGAAACTTGAACAGCTTAATGGGACTAAATCGGGGGGCCCAGATAATCTTCAGCCAAGAATATTAAAGGAATTGGCACATGAAATTGCAAGCCCATCAGCAAGAATTTTTAATGAATCTGTAAACTCAGGGGTTGTACCGTATGATTGGAGAATTGCTAACATAGTTCCTATTTTTCAGAAAGGGAAAAAATGTGATTCGGGTAACTACAGGCCTGTTAGTTTGACATCTGTAGTATGGAAGGTCTTGGAAAAAAATTTTGAAGGAGAAAGCAGTTAAGGATATTGAAGTCAATGGTAAATGGGATAAAATACAACATGGTTTTACAAAAGGTAGATCGTGCCAAACCAACCTGATCTCCTTCTCTGAGAAAGTAACAGATTTTTTAGACAAAGAAAACGCAGTGGATCTAATTTACCTAGATTTCAGTAAAGTGTTTGATACCGGGCCACATGGGGAATTATTAGTTAAATTGGAAAAGATGGGGATCAATATGAAAATTGAAAGGTGGATAAGGAACTGGTTAACAGGGAGACTACAGCGGGTCCTACTGAAAGGTGAACTGTCAGGCTGGAGAGAGGTTACCAGTGGAGTTCCTCAGGGATCAGTTTTGGGACCAATCTTATTTAATCTTTTTATTACTGACCTCAGCACAAAAAGTGGGAATGTGCTAATAAAGTCTGCGGATTATATAAAGCTGGGAGATATTGCCAATTTAGAGAAGAACCCGGAAATCATACAGGAAGATTTGGATGACCTTGTAAACTGGAGTAATAGTAATAGGATGAAATTTAATAGTGAGACATGTAAGGTTATGCATTTAGGGATTAATAAGAATTTTAGTTATAAGCTGGGGACACATCAATTCGAAGTAATGGAGGAGGAGAAGGACCTTGGAGTATTGGTTGATCATAGGATGACTATGAGCCACCAATGTGATATGGCCATGAAAAAAGCTAATGCCGTCTTGGGATGCATCAGGAGAGGTATTTCCAGTAGCGATAAGGAGGTTTTAGTACCGTTATACAAGGCACTGGTGAAACCTCACCTGGAATACTGTGTGCAGTTCTAGTCTCCCATGTTTAAGAAGGATGAATTCAAACTGGAACAGGTACAGAGAAGGGCTACTAGTGTGATCCGAGGAATGGAAAACCTGACTTATGAAAGGAGACTCAAGGAGCTTGGCTTGTTTAGCTTAACTAAAAGAAGGTTGAGGGGAGATATGATTGCTCTCTATAAATATATCAGAGGGATAAATACCAGAGAGGGAGAGGAATTATTTAGGCTCAGTACCAATGTAGACACAAGGACAAATGGATATAAACTGGTCATTGGGAAGTTTAGACTCGAAATCAGACGAAGGTTTCTAACCATCAGAGAAGTGAACTTTTGGAATAGCCTTCCAAGGGAAGCAGTGGGGGCAAAAGACCTATCTGGCTTTAAGATTAAACTCGATAAGTTTATGGTGGAGATGGTATGATGGGATAACATGATTTTGGTAATTAATTGATCTTTAAATATTCATGGTAAATAGGCCTAATGGCCTGTGATGGGATGTTAGATGGGGTGGGATCCAAGTTACTACAGAAAATTCTTTCCTGGGTATCTGGCTGGTGAATCTTGCCCATATGCTCAGGGTTTAGCTGATCGCCATATTTGGGGTCAGGAAGGAATTTTCCTCCGGGGCAGATTGGAAGAGGCCCTGGAGCTTTTTCGCCTTCCTCTGTAGCACGGGGCACGGGTCACTTCCTGGAGGATTCTCTGCTCCTTGAAGTCTTTAAACCACGATTTGAGGACTTAAATAGCTCAGACATAGGTGAGAGGTTTATCGCAGGAGTGAGTGGGTGAGATTCTGTGGCCTGCGTTGTGCAGGAGGTCGGACCAGATGATCATAATGGTTCCTTCTGACCTTAGTATCTATGAATCTATGTCGCCACTTCCAGGGAGGGACGGGCCAGGTAGGGAGCCTGCCAGCCCTGCCACCCCCACCCACCACCCGTGGTGCCCCCAGGCCACCACCACCACCCAATGCACCTGCAGCACCCCCTGGCCATCCTCCACCCCAGGATTTAGTCAGGTATATGTAGTACAAGTCATGAACAGGTAGTACAAGTTATAAACAGGTCACAGGCTGTGAATTTTTGTTTACTGCCCGAAACTTATCCATGACTTTTACTAAAAATATCTGTGACTAAAATGTAGCCATAATCACGATCACTCAGCTACCTCCTTTCACCAAGATTAGCAGCAATTTGAATGCACCAGTGAGAAAAAGCTAAAGGAAAAGTAATTTTAAAAGGCTAATTTCTCATTACTTTAAATAAAGGGAAATGCAATAATTATTCATAGTTTTCCAAATGACACAATTCTGGCTTTCTAACCAGTGAACTGAGCGACAAGGTGGGTAAGGTAATATCTTTCATTGGAACAACTTCTGTTGGTGATATAAACAGTAAACCGTGCAACGAAAAGCTACACTGTAAGCTCCTGAGTTTGGCCACACTTACACCAAAAGAAAAGTAGGACATTAGAAAAAGGCTATTTAAAAAGTTGCAAAGAACCTGCTACCTTATAAATTGTGATCTCTTAGGAGCAGGATCTGAAGCCTTTGCAGTGTGCTGGTGCAGTTTCAGTGCATCTTCTGTGGAGAAGCTTGGATTGCTAAGCCAGTCCAATTCTGCAGGTAGAGAAAAATGTGAGATCTACAACAATTTGCCTGTTGTACTCTTTAAAAGGTGCAGATTCATCTAGTCAGCAGACAACCTAATTCACAGCAAATGTCACTAAAGTCATTTATAAGAGGCAAGGATAGTAGAAAGCAATCCATGAAATTTTCACTTAGCAGACCACTGAGTTTTAGCACATTGTAAAACATTTTTAGGACCTGGAATCCTCCCATGACATGAATCTAAATTTTAAGTAAAATGCTACAAAACAATATTTAAAAGTGTAAACTGAAAAGCAAAAGAGTTTCACATACTTTAGAACTCTCTATATGGTGAATGTCAAAATCAGGCTGACCGTGGGTTTTAATGCCCCAAACAACAGACATGTAGTTACTAAAATAAAAAAATACCAGAGGACTTCAAAAGGAATGTATTGCTCTCAATATTAACAATGTTTATTATAATGCATAAATACCTGTGTTATTCAGATAGAGCTTTCCCTAGACAATATTTCAATACAAAACTCTCAACCACCATTCCTATACAGAAATTATTTTATCTTAAAAATTCTGAAAAATAATAAGATTGTGCTACAAGTAAATAAATAAATAACACTTCGTATTTATTTCCTTCAAGTATATCAAAGCACTTCATGTATACAAACTAATTATACGTCATCATACTATATGTGTGAAAAATGTTTTTAAACCCATTTTACAGATAGGGACACTCAGCAAGTTTAAGTTACTTGTACAAGTTCACATTGCAGAGCCAGAATTAGAACCCTAAATCCTAGACTTCCCCTCCTCTAACAACTAACATACCATTACCCCTGTATCAAGTGAAATCAAAGACACTCACATTTAATTCTGATATACAATATAGCACTGTAAGTGATTACTTCTCCAAAATTTTGCTTATGTCACATTTTCTGAATGATGGTAGGATATGGAAGTGGTTCACTTCCCAGGCATTTTATTGCTGGAGATCTCTGCATGAATACCAATTCTTTGTGTTTAAAAATGCATCTGACGGGTATTTATAAGCGAGCCCCGCCCCAGAAAGGAAATCACAGTTGTAGCGGGTGAGGCTCTGGTAGAAAGGGGGGGGGGGGCGTAGAAGCCCTGAGGGAGTGGGCGGAGCGGGTTGGACTGCAAAGGGATAAAACCAAAGTAAAGGTTCATCTATAAATGGGAAAACAAGAGGGCAAACGAGTGAGGAGGTCAGGTACGGCGGCCAATATCTAAACAAACTGCCCAGTCTTTAATAAGCAAGGTCTTAGGTATGCAGTAATGGGAGGGTTGGTGCCACCATCGATGCAACCAAACGCAATGGGACAAACGGCCGATACTCATCCAAGATTAGTTGCCATGCAAGCCCTTACAAGATTTTAATGACGTAAACCAGGGTTGTCCGTTGTTGGAGAATGCTAACTGTTCCTTTTTTAAAAAGGGAAAGTGTCCAAGAATTATAGGCCGTTAGTTTGACATCGGTAGCAAGTCTTGGAAAAAATTTTGAAGGTAGTTAAGGACTTGAAGTCAAGGTAAAGGGACAAAATCACGGTTTTCAAAAGGTAGTCGTGCAAACCAACCGTCCCTTCTTTGAGGGAACAGTTTTTAGATAAAGGAACGCGTGGATCTAATTACTTAGTTTTAGTAGGTTTGATACGTGCCCATGGGGAATTATAGTTAAATTGGATAGGGGCATCAAAGAATGAAAGGTGGGGGAATTGGTTAGGGAGACAACGGGTCCACGAAAGTGAACGTCGTTGGAGGGGTTCCAGGGTTCCTCAAGGTCGTTTGGGACCAACTTTTATCTTTTTTGCCCGCCAAAGTGGGTGTGCTAAAGTTGCAGTGTACAGCGGGAGTTTGCTAATTTGAGGCGGGATACCCTACAGGAGGTCGGATGCCTTGTAAACGGAGAATAGAAAGGATGAAATTTAAAGTGAGAAGTGTAAGGTCGCATTTAGGGATTATAACAAATTTAGTTATAAGCAGGGCCACAGAAGTCGGGGGGAAAGGCCTGGGTTTGGTTGATCAAGGATGACATGAGGCCAATGTGATAGGCTGTGAAAAAGCTAATGTCATCTTGGGATGCATCAGGAGGTTTTCCAGAGGGTAAGAGGTTTTAGTACCATTATAAGGCCGGTGAGACCTCACCGGAACGTGTGCAGTCGGTCTCCCATGTTTAAGAAGGATGAATTCAAACGGAACAGGTACAGAGAAGGGACTGGGATGATCCAGGAATGGAAAACTGTCTTATGAAAGGAGACTCAGGGAGCGGCTTGTTTAGCCTAACTAAAGAAGGTTGAGGGGAGATATGATTGCCTCTATAAATATATCAGAGGGATAAATACCAGAGAGGGAGAGGAATTATTTAAACCAGTACCAATGTGGAAAAACAAATGGATATAAACTGCCACTAGGAAATTTAGATTAGAAATTAGCGAAGGTTTCTAACCATCAGAGGAGTGAAGTTTTGGAATAGCTTCGAGGGAAGTAGTGGGGGAAAAGATCTATCTTGCTTTAAGATTAAACTCGATAAGTTTATGGAGGAGATGGTATGATGGGATAACAGGTTTTGGTAATTAAATATTCATGGTAAATAGGCCCAATGGCCTGTGATGGGTTTTTAGATGGGGTAAGATCCAAGTTACCCGGGAAAGAATTTTCTGTAGTATCTGGCTGATGAATCTTGCCCATATGCTCAGGGTTTAGCTGATCGCCATATTTGGGGTGGGAAGGAATTTTCCTCAGGGCGATTGGAAGGCCCTGGAGGTTTGCCTTCCTCTGTAGATGGGGACGGGTCACTTGTGGAGGATTCTCTGCTCCTTGAGGTCTTCAAACTACAATTTGAGGACTTCAATAGACAATATAGGTGTGAGGTCTTTTTTAGGAGTGGTGGGTGAAATTCTGTGGCCTGCATTGTGCAGGAGGTCAGACTAGATGATCATAATGGTCCCTTCTGGCTTAAATATCTATGAATCTATGAATCTGTTCAGGCTACTTAATCATTGCCATAATTTTTACTTGTGCCATCAAAATTATCTCCACAACATTAGAATGGTAAAAGAGAGAAGATATGGACTTCTTTTGGAGAATAAAGAGAAGGAAAGGAACTATTCAGAAACAAAGACCTATTTTCATAAATATTCAAAATCGTAAAAAAGATGAGGAAGAATACAAAAAATATTTATTCCAGCCTTACAGAATTACGAAAAAGAGCTAGTGGAGGCAAAAAATACAGCTCACTTAAAGTTTATGCTCAAATAAATTTGTTAGTCTCTAAGGTGCCACAAGTACTCCTGTTCTTTTTAAAATACTGGCTTCTGCAGCTAACTCAGTCGTATTCACCTTCATTTTCCTGTTTGCTCATAATCTGGAAAAGAAAAACAAGCTTTCCTGCTTTCTCAGGTCCCAAATGATTTCTCAATTTGGAATGAATTAGTCCTAAGGAAGAAAATATTCTTTCTACACCAGCAGAAGAAGCTACTGCTGTTAAAAGTGAGATTATCACTTCAACAGTCTCTGAATCCAAGTGCTTAAGTGACTTCCACCAGTTCACTGGTGTGGCTTTCTTTAAAACATCAGCAGCAAACATATATTTCTTGAATGGTTCTTATTCCCAAACTGGGTCTCTTTTACAGCCTGCATCTATTATAGGTTTTCCCTTCTAGTGAGAGAATGGTATGGTAGATCTCAAATCAATGAAGGCTGCACTCAGAAAGACCTTAAGACTTCCGGAATACGCTGCTCAAACAGTTTCACTTTTATTTCTACTGCCTGTCCCTCCCTTCTCACATTTTTCTCCAGACTTCTTCTCCTCGTCCAGACCCTATTCCGCCCCCAACAATCTTCTATTCATTGAACTTTCTGAAACTTTGCACTTTTAGAGAGAGGTAAGGGATTGACTCTGTGTACACAAATTTGTAAAGGGACAATAGGGTTTAAGTCTGTTATTTCTCACCTCTATATATTATTTATTTAAAAACATTTTTGCTGTTAACAAGCATGTTCTCTCTGGAGACACTAATCCACAGTTTGAGAACTGCAAAACTAAGCATCTCTGATGGTCCCTTCTAGACTGAGCACTGAGTCCCATTGGGTAGATAGAAAGATTAACCTAAATAATCTATACAGAAGCCCCTGAAACCCCATAATCCATGAACTATTGGAACTCATTTACAAAACTTTTCTTAAATGTTACATGAATATATTGTTTCATACTACAGAATTAGAATTTATAATCCTATTCCATGATGAGAGATCTTTGAGCTATAATGTATCTTAATTAAAACTATCTTTAGATTGGTTTTTTTCTTCAAAAAGCATTTTATCAAAAAAATCCGATTTAACTCACAAAAATAATTGATTTATATCCACGCTGTAAGGGAGTGAATAAAAAAGAATTTCAAAATGAAAAAACAAGATTAAGCAGGTTAAAACTTAGAATTGATGCATTAACACACGGAGTTGCCCAAAAACAGTCAATTGCAGCAAAAAAGGGCACTCCTGCAATCCATTTGGCATGCAAACAAAAATAACAGACACTGGGGGAACAAATTCAGGTTTTGCAAGAGCAAGTAACAACGCCTGCTCTCCTCTCAGAGACAGGATAAAAACCAGGGCTGCAGGTTCCCAACTGCTTTAACCTATGGAGCCACACTCCTCGCTCAAATCTAAAAATATAACCTTCTTTCTCAAATATTTTTACATACTGGTTAAGTTTTCCTTTATATCTTTTCTCAGTTTGCTAAACTCGCTGCTACTGCCTGTACCTTAATATATCTTGATAGAGTTAATCTTTCTTGGCTCAGGTCTCCCTACTATCCTAGGTTGCTCCCAACCTCTTCCTCTGCACTACCACTCTCTCTCTTTGTTTTAAAAATTGAAGTTTTTAAAGAAACCTCCAAAAGATAAAGCAGCTGAAAAAAAAAAAAACAACAAAGAGAAAACAAGGTAAAAACTTTACTTTAAATAAATCCAGTAAATTAATTATTTTAACCCTTCAG